GGGAGGGGATAGGGTGGGAGGGGATAGGGTGGGAGGGGATAGGGTGGGAGGGGATAGGGTGGGAGGGGATAGGGTGGGAGGGGATAGATCTAGATGGGATATGGGATAGAATAGTACTCATGGCCTATAGGATGGAATGCGATGCGATGCCCCATAGAAGGGGATGGGACAGGACAGGACAGGACAGGACAGCACTTGAAAAGATGAACAAGATTTCAGTATGGAGAGCACGTATACTGCTACATTGAACGCAATGATTAGTCGTTTCTGCTAAAGTTCAGAATTTCATCAGTGTACGAACTGTTACAACACCAATTACAAGAACGAACAAGCTTAGATACACATACAGTGTACAAAATACTTGTAATAGATACTTGTAAAACACCGCCATAAATCATTAGCACCATGATCGTGGCCAGAATGGCGCCACCGAGAAGCCCCATTCCCATCAGAATTACCACTTTCTGCATTTTGCTCAGACTATGCTTTTTCTTTTTTTCTTTTTTTTTTTTTCCTCCTTCTGGCTTTGGAGATGGCTCGGCTGTAAAGTGATAGAATTTGGCGAGGGTTAGGTTAGGTTGGGTTAATCTATAGAATATTATGAAAGGATAGGATATTAATATACTGCATGATTATACCAATGAAAGTAGTACAAAAGCATCATTAATATATAAGCAGGTAGAACTTCGACAAAAAAAAACTCAATTCCCTTTCCTCGAGAGCATGAGATATCAACAAGAGGGATCTCCAAGGATCATCACACTCACTACCACTAGTGTGATATAAAGTCAGTAGTAGTTTCAAGTCCAAAACGGAAGCAAGTAGTACGTGCTGCAGCATCTTCGTTGTCGGAGTCGCCGGGGGTACCCTCACCGTCTGCATGCTCATCTGGTTCCATACCTTCATTCAGATCGAGAAAACTCAAAATCTTGTGAAATGCGTTCTCTTCGACGAGGGTGGCAAAGCCATCCCCTTTTTCGCGTGATGCCTTTGTCTTAGAAGATGTCATCAACAGTGTGGGGAGGATCGCTTGGAGAAGAAGTGTATAGAGGACTCACTGGACATATACAACTAGTAGTTGTATAGGGAGGATTAGATAGTAGGAGAAGAGCTGTGCGAGATGAAGTGAGGATGATCTACTTGGATTTGCGGATTTTTTTTTGGGGGGATTGGATGTAATTCATCCTATGATCACAACTAAGTCTAAGTAATCTTTCCTACGGACTTACTTCCCCGTAGCCATTAGCTTAGCATTAACAAGTTGACGATTATAATCGGTAGCTATGTTGTTAGTAGGATGTATAATCTGTATCCACCTATGATCTTCATAATGATGGCAGTCGCATTTTGGGCCAACATCATCTCAGCCTGGGCACGGGCCAATGCCTGCTTTCGTGCAGTGCTCCGGAATCCACCACCAATGCGAAGATTCGACGCTCGTCATGAAAGGTTTTTATACTACGAAATATTCGATGTGGACGTCTCCTGATAACTATGTTTTTTTGATTTATAAATTGTGATCAAAATCAACCCATTCCACAGCGCAACCACGCCGTGTAGCTCAAAAGAGTTGTGGCAACAGAATGACGCCCACGAAAATGAGAGCTAAAAATATAATACAAACAGTACAATCGTACGGCTTTAGAAGATTGATTATACCAGTCTTCTACTCGATAAGAATTGAAGAAAGTTGTATGGTAAATTTTTACTATTTGTATCCTATATTTCTATCTAGTTGTGCCACGACATTTTCGTTTTGTGCATAACACAGAGCCTTCCATCTGTCCTTCCTGAAGAAAGGCCGCTTGCAGCTCATCTACGGCCTTGTGCTCAGGTTTAGAAGCTCCTTCTGATGCGCCTGACGAATCTGGGACCGCATCTTCGTCTTCGTCGTCGCTTCCTGCAGTTCCCGCCAGGAAGTTGTTCCCTCGAAAGTTGTTCCCCTGAAAATCGTTAGACCTAGAAGTCAGAGTTATTTTTGTATCCTCTCCCAATTGTTGAGCATCATACTACAATGATAACTCATGATACGGTGATACTATGATGACAGATAGGAGCAGTGGTTCTTGTATCCTCACTCTTGCACCCTCCAAGAATACTCTCGTATCCTTGAAGAATATAATGACGGATAGGATACGATAGGGTAGGAGATTGATGCACCTTCCACAAGCAACGAGGAGATACTTAATCAATATCTTACTATTTCCATTCTTTTTAGGAAACTATCACATTTTCGCAATCTTCTGTCTCGTGAGATATTCATTGAACACTCTATTCCTGAATTATTCTACAGGCCGCCATAAAATTGTCATCGTTCTTGACCTCCCGTTTGCGATTTGCCAGTTCCGGGAGACTCGGCGCAGCACCTTTGTACCCCAGAGTTGTCGGCCATGGCGTCGTGTACAGCAGCAGCCCACCGAATGTGCACGCCGCTACCATGATGAACAGCAGAAATAACTTCAGTAGCGAAAAAGCGAGACGAATCCGGCTCCGGGAGGCACTTTTTTGAAGACACATTAGAAGGACCAGAGAAGACACTAGAGGACCACACTCATTCATCTTTATTATAATAATTGGCGATAAGAAAAGATCGTGTCGATCTAGCGACACTCATTCATCTTCCAGTGAAGACATAAGAAAAGATCGTGTCGATCTAGCACGAATTCATCTTTATAATTACACTCCGACTCATCTACCAAGGTTAAGGTTGAGGGTCCACTGCTTCGCGGCCAAGCCGCACCTGCTAGGACAAAGTAGGTTCGAGTGTAAGTACTTATTTACAATACTTAATTAAGCAGAGAGACGCTGCGTACATACTGTAAGTAATCGTGAAGACATAAGAAAAGATCGTGTCGATCTAGCACGAATTCCCTCCGGCCAGATAGGTAGCGAATCCAGGTTTCGAAGCGTTGTGAAATCAGAGAATCGATCCGCCCGTCTTCCGACGAACTCTGCAGTTGTAACTCCAACTCATTAGAAAATTCATCTAATGATAATCTAGTATAACACAGGAGCCCCGTACTCTATCTTATTAAGACCTAAAAAATACTACTAACTCCCGATGACCATAAAATAATCAAACTGACAGCCGCGATGTTGGGGGCTTCTCTTGCAGCAGGATTTCGTGCCCCGACAATAGTCGTGGCAGATGAACATGATCTTGAAATCCACTACAGCAACCTTGGTCGACGTCAACCAGGGTTGACGCACTGCCAAGCTGCCTCGACCAAAACAGCTTACGTAAAACGAAGCCAAATGAAGCTACTGGAGTGTCGACGCAGTAAAAGCCTGAAGATACCACACAGCTGGTCTTACCGCAACAGCTTATACTGCTATGGTCGTTGTCGCTGCAACACCAGTGGAGGACGCGCACTAAGGCAGGAGGAGTTTTGTTGATCCACTGCAGGCGGACCACTAAGGCAGTAGGAGTCTTGTTCTTGATCTCTGAGTCGTTGAGTTTCGAATGCTTGTCTGTTTCAGCCTTGTAGTTCTCCTGAAAAGATACTGCTTATTCGATTCTCATTGATGCAAGAACTCGAATACTTATTCTTGCTGTCCTCGTAGGGGAACAAGGGCAGCGATCCATGATCTCGATCTCGTGAAGATCATGTTCTCATGTAACAAATTAAAAGCATAGATGACTTTGAATTTCATGAGAGTGCTAAGGGGCACATAGAAATCAAGTGCTGTCGTACTCCTCTACGAACTATGACGCACTAAAAGGGTTAGTTTTTGGAAGATGAAAAGATGAAACCTCACGTTCTAGACATAGATCATGTTAAACCACAAGACTTGTAAATCATACGAAGTGAGTAGGCAAGAATTGGAGTGTGGTGGTGGTGGTGATTGGGAGAGCTGTGGTTCTTTGTCGGTGGATGCTGTTCATCTCTCCGTTCATATACTTGCTCACAAACGACCGATGTCGACGTGAAGGAGCAGGCAGCTGCCTGCTGCGACCGACCATGATGAAGACAACAACCTTACCGATGCCATGGAGACTACCACATCATCGATTTGAGATTATTTCCAGCGCACAGCCATCTGAACAATTGCCACCGAGAGAGTGATGGTGGGAGATAGAACCGATCTCAGAATCACGACACACCACTACGACCGACTACGGCATAGCACAGATTCGACAGCAACAACCTGCTTGTTCGGCCTCGGATCAGCGCCCAGACCCATTGTGCCTGTGGCTTGCAGTAGTCGTGCCTACAATATTCATTCATTCGTCTGAGGACAAATCTGTTAAGATGACGTCTGCTGGGATGTTTCGATTCTACATAGGGAGGATCACAATTTGACATTGACAGTACTATGGGACTAACTACTACAAGAATCGGGGATACTCATGTTCTTGAACACCTACCAAAGCTCATCCTACTCATTGAACATATTAGAGAGCATCAACATGTTTGCCTTGCCTACTATACAGATAACGGCATGAAGATGGTTGTATGTGAATGCGGGCTTTATGAAGAGAAATAACTTTACTACGTCAAATACAGGTACACATCCAGAGCTACGATTGAATATATAAGTTTGTGTTGATGTGTGGTCTAGGAAAGAAGAGTTTCTTGAGTTTCAACAGTCTGTGTCTGGTGTCATAGATAATTCAATTTGTTCTGTGCATTTTATTTATGTGATTTGACATGGAAGAAACTAAAGGTGTGATTAATGTGCATGATCTACTGAAACTGGTACCAAATTTGATTGTGTGTAAACTAGACATACATGATTTCCGAGTAGCATCTTCTAAACACTTTCTTGTATCTTCGTATTCTTGTGCAAATCAATCGTATGAATGCTCCAGGTCATATTTATAATAGTGTGTGGACAAGAAGAAAGTGGTGTAATGATCATGATAGATAAGTAAGTAGTAGCAATAAGTGCTGGGAAGTACGAAATTTCTTGGAAGTATGGAATGAAGCTAAACTTTCTGGTGTGATGAGCAAAAGTACATGTGGGTGATTCAATAGATGTAAATTTTTTGGCTTATGTACGACTGCCCATGGGCATACTCGGTCCACCGTTAACGCTGTCGCTAAGGAATCGCAGTAACCGGAGCTCCGACCATCGCCTTCATGCATTAGAGGGGGACGATACGATACCTTGAGAGCATCATACTAGTACCGCATAAGTCCATTCTCTTCCTTGAGGAACTTAGTAGCAACTCAGTAGCAGGGGTGTGCACGATGTGAATGTGATGCGTCTCTAATCATGCTGCTCCAGCAGTGTAGTGTGCAAGAACTCGAACTCGTCTAAGTACAACAGAACGCCTTAATCCTCCGAGCCCGATGCGCTGTCCGACGACGATGAGGACGAAGAGGACTTACTCGATTTGGACGCCCGCTTCGCCTGGGCCTGCCGTACATCAACTAGTGCAACTTAGAAGATGCGTATCCTTTCGATGTCATGGATATCTAGAAGATCATCATGATCATGGAGCCTTCCTAAGCTACTGACAGCACTGAGGAGTGTCCTTGATGTGTGTCCTGAGTACAGTCATGAGTTGTTCTAATGTTGTCCCCCAAATAACTAGTGTTCTAGAGTCACGAGAAGTGTCCTTGACGTGTGTCCTGAGGACATTCTGACTATAACAAGTGTGATCCAAAGCAGAGAGACAAGAGGACTCTTGTGGTGTTCTTGAGATCGTTGATGCATTGGATGATGGGACTAGCCTAGGGGGTACCAGTAGGAGACTTAAACGGTTGTTGATGTTGTAAAAAGGTAGAGTTCGCCCACTGATCTTGTTGAGAAAAAGTTGTCATGTTGGCTATGTATTCCAGCAGTAGCATATTAACTACAAGAGCAATGAATCGAATTCTCTCATAAGGCTTTCTGAAAACGTCATCTGATTCCACCAGATTCAGTCGAGAGTAGTCCGGTCGGTAAGCCATCGAGCCGCACTTAAAGCTTGTCAACTATCGGGTTCGGGTAGTTAAAAATCCCTTCGATGTATTTCTATTTGTTCTAAGGGTACTACTATGATTGGCTGCGTGGATCGATCCCCTTCCAAATCGTCTTACGTCTGACCTCTAAGAGACAGGATCTCTAAGAGACAGGATCCACTCTGCCAGATAGTGACAATGCCAGATAGAGCCTGCTCAGGATTGAACATAGAAGAAGCCCATCATGCCCGATTAAATAGTGACTGACAACAAGCCATAACGTAGTAGGCAGGCATGGCACCCTCCCCTTGAGAGGAGCAGGAGGACCCGTACCCGAATAAATCTGCCAAGACATCGCTAGGCTCTGCCCTTCATTAGAGTAGTAGTCGTAGTAGTAGCAGTAGCAGTGGTACTAGTTACGCATTCGTAGTAGTCAACGGAGAGGACAGAGGATAGCTCAAATGTAAACACTACATTCGTAGTAGTCAACGGAGAGGACAGAGGATAGCTCAAATGTAAACACTACATTCGTAGTAGTCAACGGAGAGGACAGAGGATAGCTCAAATGTAAACACTACATTCGTAGTAGTCAACGGAGAGGACAGAGGATAGCTCAAATGTAAACACTACATTCGTAGTAGTCAACGGAGAGGACAGAGGATAGCTCAAATGTAAACACTACATTCGTAGTAGTCAACGGAGAGGACAGAGGATAGCTCAAATGTAAACACTACATTCGTAGTAGTCAACGGAGAGGACAGAGGATAGCTCAAATGTAAACACTACATTCGTAGTAGTCAACGGAGAGGACAGAGGATAGCTCAAATGTAAACACTACATTCGTAGTAGTCAACGGAGAGGACAGAGGATAGCTCAAATGTAAACACTACATTCGTAGTAGTCAACGGAGAGGACAGAGGATAGCTCAAATGTAAACACTACATTCGTAGTAGTCAACGGAGAGGACAGAGGATAGCTCAAATGTAAACACTACATTCGTAGTAGTCAACGGAGAGGACAGAGGATAGCTCAAATGTAAACACTACATTCGTAGTAGTCAACGGAGAGGACAGAGGATAGCTCAAATGTAAACACTACATTCGTAGTAGTCAACGGAGAGGACAGAGGATAGCTCAAATGTAAACACTACATTCGTAGTAGTCAACGGAGAGGACAGAGGATAGCTCAAATGTAAACACTACATTCGTAGTAGTCAACGGAGAGGACAGAGGATAGCTCAAATGTAAACACTACATTCGTAGTAGTCAACGGAGAGGACAGAGGATAGCTCAAATGTAAACACTACATTCGTAGTAGTCAACGGAGAGGACAGAGGATAGCTCAAATGTAAACACTACATTCGTAGTAGTCAACGGAGAGGACAGAGGATAGCTCAAATGTAAACACTACATTCGTAGTAGTCAACGGAGAGGACAGAGGATAGCTCAAATGTAAACACTACATTCGTAGTAGTCAACGGAGAGGACAGAGGATAGCTCAAATGTAAACACTACATTCGTAGTAGTCAACGGAGAGGACAGAGGATAGCTCAAATGTAAACACTACATTCGTAGTAGTCAACGGAGAGGACAGAGGATAGCTCAAATGTAAACACTACATTCGTAGTAGTCAACGGAGAGGACAGAGGATAGCTCAAATGTAAACACTACATTCGTAGTAGTCAACGGAGAGGACAGAGGATAGCTCAAATGTAAACACTACATTCGTAGTAGTCAACGGAGAGGACAGAGGATAGCTCAAATGTAAACACTACATTCGTAGTAGTCAACGGAGAGGACAGAGGATAGCTCAAATGTAAACACTACATTCGTAGTAGTCAACGGAGAGGACAGAGGATAGCTCAAATGTAAACACTACATTCGTAGTAGTCAACGGAGAGGACAGAGGATAGCTCAAATGTAAACACTACATTCGTAGTAGTCAACGGAGAGGACAGAGGATAGCTCAAATGTAAACACTACATTCGTAGTAGTCAACGGAGAGGACAGAGGATAGCTCAAATGTAAACACTACATTCGTAGTAGTCAACGGAGAGGACAGNCAACTGCAAAGTAGAGGGTTTCACAAACTGCAACTGCAAAGTAGAGGGTTTCACAAACTGCAACTGCAAAGTAGAGGGTTTCACAAACTGCAACTCGAGTCTGATGATCGGACCAGCCTAAGGATTGCCCTGCTCGTCTACTATGCACTCGTTATCTTTGGTCCTCATCAGGAGCAAAACAAGAACGGACTCCTTGGTGTTCAAATATTTCGGTCCTTATCGGTCAACAAACCTCCTTATAGATACAGAAGTCTAGTAAGTATTCTTCAACTCATCTTCTTGTTGAAGGGTTGTACATATAAAATTGGTATCGATTCCATGAAGAATTGTTGTACCACGAAGAATAAATGTACTATGGTTCGATATAGACATACTCAGTTTCAGAAATCTTGGACATGAACATGGTTCCTAGTTGGACTGGGTGTTTGAGTATCTTCAGCACAGTTCGAGAGTCCTAAAATCAAATACTCTGAAGAATATGCAGGAAATTTGGGAACATTCAGGAATTAGGGAATAGTAGGGAATGCGCAGGAGCACGGGTTACGTGGTTTCTTCTAGCGGTATTGACAAACTTGGTGGAGTAGACTCTAGAAACAGGCATTGTGAGGACAGAAGTTAAACACGACACCAATATTCACCGATGATCTAATAATTGTTGAGGCAAGCAGAGATGAGTGCCAGAATGGTTAAAGGAAGAGACGCTACCTCCAACAAAAACACCGAGTCCTTCTAGACAGCATTATTGTTCAGCGATACTGCACCTCCTGAACGAGTTTATAACAGGAACTTGAGCTTGCGAGAACGACGAGGAGAACACTTTTTTTTCTTTCATCATGATAGGTTGCTGAGCAAAAGAAGCTAATTTCACCTTGCTCTTTTTGCATCTGCTTCAGGCAGTGTTCATTAGGTGATGCGCAATGTGAAACGTAGGACTTTGTGTCGCGAATGTGATATCCATTGTAGTCCCTAGATCATGGTGACAATGTTCATCTTCAATGGCATATATTATGGGTCGTGGTAATGGGATTTGTAAATTGATTCATGAATGATGGCAGAAGCTTTCGACGTCTTCTGCTATAAATATCAATCTTCTACCATGCGGGTGCATGGTAAAGGCTAGTTGGCGCGATGTTCATAGTTGCACGTTTCGTTGTTCATCTACTCCGTAATTGTCCCATAGACGCACTCGTTGTACGTCTACGTCACCTCTGTTCGTGCAAATATCAAGTCGTTGTATTTGTTGTTGTTGTGCTTGTTTTTGTAGTACTGCTGACCCGGAAGATGATGTTGCCTTCTGCCTTTCTTCCGGTCGGTCTCCTTTCTTCCTTTCTAGCTAGTAGAAGAAGTACTCCACCTCGAAGGCACACCCACACTGCACCACCAGCAACTATAATTTTTAAGAAGCACTCATCTTGTCCCCCCAAAATTCCTTCATCTCCTCATGAAAAGCAGTGGTCTCTCTGAAAGAGAAGTGGTCTCTGCTCTTAACGGATTCTAGCACCACCGCCACGGCCTTTAGCTTTTCCCTTGCCCTTGCCCACCGCTGGTCGCTTTCGGGCTTCCTTGTCAGTCAACAAGGTGTCCAAGGCCAAATTGTCGGGTAAGGTGACACTCCGAATCGTGTTGCCTCGTAGAGTTATCTGTTCCATTGGTACTGTCTCTCGTCCGGGTGTTGACACCTGTAGTTATAAGTACAGGAATGAAAAACGTACACTTCTTCGTAAACGTACTGTTTGGAGAATCACCATATCAATGTACTTAGTCGTGGTCATCATTTTTCAATGAAAACGAATTTTTCTGTCGTTCTTTCTGTAAGTATTAAGTGCATAAAAAGTACCTTTGCGTTCTTCACGTGCATGTTCATCTGCATGTCGACGCCTAGCACGGTTCCAGTGACGCTGGTGTTGCTCTTCAAGTCCACGGTCACCGACTCATTCGCCAGCTTCCGCAAGAAAACAACAAGCTTCATTTTGCCTAGAACTAGAAGTAGTGAGCTTACTCGATGTCGATAGTTGTACAAAAATCAGCAAATGAAGAATATTACTAACTTAAATCTTATATAGTTGGAAAAATCAAGGAAATAGCAAGAATAGCTGTATTCTACTTTCACCCCCAGATACTTTTTGCACCAATATTTCCCGGCCTTGTGATGAGTCACTTCACGGAACCATCGGAATTGCATCATTCATTTACCATCAAAGCTTACGTCATCAAAGCTCACGATTTAGATTCTGCGTCACAAAAGGGCGCGCCAGTCCAGCGATGAACCACTGAAGAGGATCACTGCATACAGTGGGACCTTCGCCAGAACCAGGGCCTTGCTACTTAGACTTTCGGATCGATGAGATGAATTCCGCAGATCAGGCAGGAACGTAGAACGATTTGATCCATAGCCACTCGGACAAGGATTCAGTGGTATTTCAGACAGATCAGGACAGATGACATTACAGCAATTAGAGGTTTTGAATGGATTCCTTACGGTGAATGGAGATGAACAAGCTCACCCTGTGGGTAAAAGGTTACGAATGGCGAAAAGCCTTCCGACGAACGGGTAAAGAACCCGACCAGACCTCAGCCAGCCTCGTCTTCCACTGACTTTGTGGTCTGAAACTGAAATATCTTCAGATCGAATGAGCAGCCCAATTCGCGACCATATGATACATTTTTTAGATTTGATGTGTAGGATAAAGAAATCGATTCGCGCTCACAATTATAACCTGCGGGAAAAGGGATGATGAGCAAAATCTTCAAAATGGATACAAAGCAATGTCTAATTATGAGTTTCAACAGAAGTTGTCGGTACTGCGAACCTCACGATTTCATCTTCGATTTTTTTTCATTTACTAGTACTAGAAGATCATTCTCTATAAATTTCTCTTCCATGATGGTTTTTATTCACATCGTCTTTACCTAGTAGACTCCCTACTACAAGTAAAGCATCTTGTTCATCTATTTCCCTCTTTATAACGCCCTGGTCCTGCTTTGTAACAATGTTACGTCAGCATCCTGATGCTCTCGCTTCAAGATTCTTGACTGCAGCAATAAACGCCTAACACTTCTAGTACCATTCTTGTAGTGCGGGCGATGACTTTTCAGGACATCTGTGGTCATAGCTGCTGCTACAATCCGATTTCTCTACCTCTAGACTAGCGATACTGTCCGCGGCCTAGTCTTCCTAGACTGACGAGCGAAATCCGCGTCTTGATGGTGGCTCGTGAGGTTCCTCCTCCGTTGTGCTCATATCACAGTAACGTCGTTTGCCCGTTTGCAAGCCATCATCATGCAGATGTTGTCCTTTCGTCATATCAATATGTTGTAGATCCCCAGTGCCTGCCTCAATATTTCTTGCTTCCACCGCGTGTTGTTGGTGGAACTGCACCTTGGAACCTGAGAAATAGTCATAGTGATATCAATGGGTTCGGTGAATTAAAAATCATATAATGATAATCAATCTTATGGAACTCTTTCTTGTTTTTGGAGCACTATGCAGAAGAAGTAGCAAGCAACAATCTGTAGGTACATGATCGCAAGATGCTGAGAGTTCTATCTTCGTCGAAATTCGATAATGATAAATGAATAAAGAATCTTTAATGGATAACCACAGTCGTGCATAAAAATGAAGTCACTGCATGAATATTAAAATGGAGTACGTAAAATGGTGATTTTGGCTCCACATGCTAACGAGACTGTGACCATGTCCCCTTTGCACGACTCCAGCACACCTTGACCGTAGGGCGTCAATACGTAGAGGTGGCCCGCACCGAACTTTGCGGTCCTCACAGCAAAGTCTGAATATCCTGGTCCTGGGCTAGAAGGATTAGAGAACTTCATTATTACATTCACATGATCCTTCAATCTATGTACAACTTGATGACCCTAATAAAAAGACCGACGATACTCGATGTTAAGGATGCATGATCTGTGAAAGTCCTCTATGCCTTAATAGCGGACGAGTAGTTTGCACAAGAAGTATTGTTCCCATCAGTGTGCTGGTAGTAGGCGGCAGAGCTGCTAGTCGCTTGACTTTGTTGCACAAGAGGATAGGGAGATAGCAACGTCGGCCCACCCGACGCCATCACCAGGCTCATTCTTCTCACAGGTGTAGTTTCCGATACTCCTCAATTTATACTAGTGATTCTTATATATAAGTACTTCTTATACTAGTTTCCGATACTTCTTCACTACAAAAAGCTGAGAAAGTCCCAGTTCGTTTTGGTCCCCAAAAAGATGAGAAAGTCCCCAAACAATGATTTGCATCGGGGATCCATCAAATGTGCTACACTGATTCGAAGAAATACAGGAACGAATTAGCTTGATTCCAGCACTCTCTTCTGACATAGTAACTTCTTCTCTCGTCGTCATCCGTTTTGCATCTCTCACTGTGCAGAGAACTCGCACTCAAAAATGATTTCTCTTTGATCTCCAGTGTCCACTTCCTGCATCTCCATCGCCGTGCTTGCGGGTACAAGAGACGATAACTCTGTCATCAGATCACGCAATGATGATCAGAGGTCAAACTCAAAACACAGCAAGTATTCACAAAGAAGAATTTTTACTGTCTGAGCACTTTGCAACTTTTTCGTCCGATCATATCGATTTGAAATAGCAAGATTTACGTCGTTTGTGGGTGGGGAAGTCGTTGGGGGTAGAGCAAAGAAATCATGGGAAGATGTGTCGAACTCAAAAAAAGTGTGCCAACCATCCACACTCTAGTACATCGTAGATTGCTAATACATCAAGAACAATATTTAGATGACGAGTTGTGCTAAAAACGTGTTATAACCCTAACCTTTCTTCCAACTAAACTAATTACAGAGTGCCACTGAAAAATACATCGTCTCCAGGTAATTCTGATAATGCCTGCAGTCCTAGTAAAAGGTCTCTATGATGGTAGTGATACTTCGAAAAATAAGAAAGATGGAATGCCATGGAAATCCAAGAAGCAGATTCGCGGGATTCACAAGTCGAGGTCGGTAAAAACTAAGTCTTCTTCACAACGGCGAGTCGTGCCAACAGTAAATAATAGAAGAAGTATGATGTTGTTCTCCGCTACCGCCGGTCGAATGACCGCCACAACGCAAGAATCAGCATGTCGAGAAAAAACTGAAACCTGCTGCACGACTCCTTGCGTCTGCTATGATTGTAGTAGAGACCGCTTCGTGCCTTGGATGCGGATCAGTCCTCCTTGCCTCCTGTAACAGGGTGGACTTCACGTCTCCACAAACGACTACAAAAATCTCAACTTTGTATAAACTGTGGCACCACGACGATGTTGTTGTTGTTCTTCACCTCCTCCTATTCTTCTACTTCTACTATGACTACTAAACCGTCGTAGTCAACACTCAACACCTCTTATGCTTCTACTACTAACTACTATGGTAGCAGTAGTCGTAGAAGACATCCTCTAGTCTTGTGACTATTTCTTCCACCAACTACAGAGGTCCTCATAGTCGTAGAAGAGATCCTCTACTTAGTTGAGGCTTAGTTGACCTGCTCGCCCTCTCCATCGAGATGGGAGTTCGGATTTCCATCCTCCATTCTGTGTTGCGGTGGTGCCGGTCCTCCCTTTTTCGACTTCTGGCCTGAGACGATGTCGTCGATGCGCAAAATCATGGCTGCTGCCTCAATAGCTGCCTTGATGGTCTGCGCCTTGGTCGCAAAGGTGTCCAGGATGCCTGCTTTCGCTGCATCTACGATCTTACCCTCGTTGCCGTCGATACCCATGGGGCTGGCGACATCCGGGTTGCCGTGTCGGGAGCGCAAATCCGTGAGGAGTCGCACGACACTGGCGCCACAGTTGTGCGCGAGGGCGCGCGGGATAACCTCAAAGGCGCTTGCGACCGCTTGATACGGATACTGCATGGTACCAGTCTGCGACTTGGCCAGCACCTTCAGCTTAGCACCTAAAAAGAGATGATGAACAAGTTATAATACTTAAATGCAAGAATCGGAGTACTCTAATATTGCTTCGAAGATTGTTTGCTATTTCATTTCCATTTTCAAAATTCAAGCAAAGTTCTTAGTATCAAAGAATGGTACTCAAGTGCATCTCGGTTGCTCCTCCACCCGGCAGGAGTTTTGGTTCCAAGATGATATTTCGGGCAACGTTCCAAGCATCATGCAAGTTACGCTCCATTTCGTTTAACACGTCCTTACTGGCACCTTGTGTTTTAAACATTAGGAAGTGGTCCATGAAGAACTTCTGGTCCACAAAGGAAACTTCTTTATGAAGACTAGCTGATCATGAGTCACGAGTTCATCTTCCTAGAAAAACAACTTGTTTCACTCATGTGAGTTAATAGTTTAAACTCAACATTTTAATTTAATATTACCTCGCAGTATGACACTGCACGCCTTCGGGTTGTCGCACTCCGTCATAAAGGTGAAGTATTCGTCACCAATCTTTTTCACCTCGAAGAGGCCGCAACCTGTACCCACGTCTTTCTCATCGAGTTCTTCCGGTCGGTTCACGATTGTTGCTCCTGTGACCCTTGCGACACGGTTGTTATCCGTCTTTCGAAGTCGGCGGACCACCTAAAATCAACCACCGTGTTATATGTTGTACGTATCGTTTTGGGGAACTATGAAATTAAATCTTCAGGGAGGTTGGTATTCTCGTCAAGCTGTTCTACATAAAAATGTTGGCAACTACTGTAATAGTACCGAGATATTCTTCTTGAGCAAGAAATGCTGTGCCAAATCCGAAACTCCCTTTTCCGTGATAACAACGTCTGGGGATACGCGCAAAATTTCGTCGCATAATCTTTTCACTTCTTCCTCTTCTTGCTTCAACATTGCCTCCCAATCCGTCTCTTTTGTGATCTCGACCTAAGATGAGGAGTAAGATTAAAGCTCAGCCTTCAATGGTCATCATGACTCTGAACGGAAGGGACCCCCTTCAAAGTTCTCCCCTTTCCCTTCATTTTCCCCTGTCGAATGATCCGTAGGACTGAGGAAAGCGGGTCACCCGGGGAAGTCCAGGATGAATCTGTTGATTTTTCTTTACTAGTTTAAGAGTGAAGCAAAAATGAGGAGTAAGATGAATCTGTTGGTTTTTCTTTAGTCCCCCATCTTGTTCCACTCTTGTTCATTAACTTTACTTACTAGATAAATTATGTTATTAGAGTGAAGCAAAAATAAAATTGTAGTACGTTGGTTTGACTCTCGCCCTTCTTGTACTCCAACGGGCAATCGAGCAGAACGACTCGCGGGTTCTTAATTTTCCTTCGCATGCGGGGATGGGTAATGTCCTTGTTGAACATCACACCCTTGAGGACCTGTGTTTGAAAAGTAGAGTGAGGGTGGTACTACAAACTTGCTGTCGTGACCGAAATAGTTCATAGATTTTCATTTTGATGACAAAACGAGTTCGAGCAGAGCACTATATATAAATTCTTCAACTCATAGGTCGATGTCATAAATAAATACCGTGCACTCCTCGAGGTCACCACCTCCGATCTTTTCGACCTTGGCATACCTTTTGAGGTCGATTTCCTTCTTTCCGGAAGGCAATTCCTCGTAGACGCACTGTGCCGCTTCCACTGCCAAAGTGGAAATCATAGTGCCCCAACGCGACACAAATTTCGTGTCGATGCTACTTTGGACTACCTCAATCAACTTCGCTTTTTCGCTACCAATCGGAATAGCGACCTGCTCTAGCAATCTTAGACTATCCTCGAGGGCTCTTAGATACCTGAATGAAGAGAAGAAAAGACTTTTTGTTTTCGGGAAAGAAGACCTTACTTTTTAGTATTATTCTACACAACGACCACAACGAAAAGGAAGTGCTACACTTCAACATAAACATCAAGACATCAAAATTTACAGTTGTATAATCAAATCAAGGTACCCTTGCACGATAACAGTCGGGTGAATGTTCTTTTCGAGGAGCGGCTCTGCCACCGAGAGCATTTCGCCGGCTAAGACAATAACACTAGTGGTGCCGTCACCCACCTCCTCATCCTGAGCTCGGCTTAATTCGATTAAATTCTTGGCTGCGGGATGTCCCACGTCAATCTCTCGCAAAATTGCGTTGCCGTCGTTCGTCATAACCTGCGTAGATGGGAGATTGGGCGAAATTGGGATGGGAGCTGAAATTGGGATTTAAGCAATTTGTATGTTCTGGCAAAGAACTCGTTTTCTGATTGGACTTCTAAATCACTTATTTATCACCAACCTCTCATCATCATAAAAGTGATTATGCACAAGGATGGACAATCCTACAAGAGGAGCTCAGTCTCCCTCAACATAGTAGTAGTAGTAGTAGTAGTAGTAAACCCATTCTAGGGGTACATACATCTTAATTCTTCAAGGGTGGGGTTTGAGATTGTATCTTCCTTAACAATAGATACGATTCCGCCCATAGGATCCAGGAGCATCTTTAACATCGCCTTGGGTCCGAGTGTCGTGCGGACGATACTGGCTACGTTCACCGCGGCAGCAATATTACTCCTCTGCGCCTTTCGCCCAGTCTCTCGCTTGGTGTTCTTGTTTAAGACCACCATCTGGCCGCCTCCTGGCATCATGCCGCCTCCGCCCATTCCTGGCATCATCTTGTCTAAATTATTCAAGAGGGGTGTAAGACGTCGTCACGAAGTTCTGAATGAAAGCAGTCTAAAAATTTCTCCAAGAGTCTAATGCAAGATTTTGAGGTATTGTGACTAGTTACGACACATGCATCCATAAAAATTCCTTGTAAATGAAACTTGCAACACCCTTGTGCCGTGCCACGCTCTGGTTGAAAAAAAAAGATGTTTCTCTCTTTCAAAGATCATTTTTAGACTCATTCAGTATAATGTTGATTTTGATTTAGTGTGTGATGTGCAACTCAATTGTAGTGAGCTTCTGTATATTTTTTCAAAGTTGTAGAGAACTTTCGTCTGATTCTGTAGGTGCTGACATTTTGAATTTCATTTCTGTAGACAAGATTTCTTGGATCTTCAGACAAATTCAGATTGTGTGGACAACGGCATGTACATCATTGAGAATTCAGCGATCTTTTGATTTTCAATCACTTCTTGTGTGGACAAGGGCATGCACATCACTGTGTGTGTGTATTTTCATCATGATTACATTACATTACAAATTTTTCGATTTAGTTCGACGCACCAGCAGCGGTGGGCGCAGAGAAAGCAGACATTTCACAGACACAAAGAGAAAGCTAGAGAAAGACTGATGAAATAAGGAAATCTTTTTCCAATCCAAGCTCGAACAGCCGTTTTCACGGTCCTCTTGGTCGTTCATCGATTTTTGAGATTCATGGGCTGCGGGTGATGTTTTCGTCTATGGTCTGTGTGGTGTTTTTGCACGACGACTCAGAATTTCTGCACAAGGAGCGGCATGCAAGAGAAAACACTTTCCCCCTGCTTCTGTTCAAAAGAAAATACAGGCTTAACCAAGCAGCCACAAACTCATATTTAGGCTCTTATCTTCATGCTTTAAATTCTATGAGGCAGTGTGTAACGTCATCCATGCGTACGTCTCTGTGTATGGCTGAGGACCAATTTCTCCAAAGTCAGATGCTTCAAATTTCAACAGACAAAAAAAAGGAAAAGCTAGATGCTGTGCATTTAGCAAGAAGAGTAACAGAAATATTAAAGGATTGACGACATCGTCCATCAAAATACCTACGGGTCTCTCCTCCACATCATTGACTGAAGAGGGGCTATACCGGTCTAAAAAAATTACCGAACAAAAATACTTAGTATTTCGTTGTAAATACAAAGACACGAGTTCTCATCTCGTACCTTCAGACAGTTTCAAACTCCTGCTCGACGGATAACAAATAATATTACCAGTAATCATGATAACGCTTCTAGTCGTTCGCATCAATTTCTAGTCGGCTTCCAACAATCTGTATTTGTATTCTTCTTTTTTAAGCAGGTGGATTAGGATTTTCTTTGTTTCCACTTCATTTCATGTGGCCGTCGAAAATGCCAACATAGAATTATAAGGTTTACCGAGGACTGTTCCACGTACACATTGCAGTAACTATACTGACAACAAACGTTGGTACAACGACACTATATCCTTCTTGTGAACAAATTCCTGAGGACGGACTATGTGTGGCAACATCGATGAAATTGCAGCGGGAAAATAACTTGAACTAAAAACTGAAAAATGATTGTCCCGTTGCAGCTGCGGGACAGGTCGAGTATGAATCCTTGCTGAAGAGCTCGAATAAGCGTCAAATCTAAGTTCAAATTCTTAAGAACGAAAAAACTACTTGCTGATGCTGAGAAGATCTCCTTACCTGCTCACAGGTCCTAACTATTCTCGAGAAATAAGCATACAAGAACATGCACCCACAAGCATGTCGCGTAGACCGTCAATAATACAATTGTCGCTCACGACTGCTCTCCTCGAGATGACTCTTTCTAGATGATAGTAGTCGGATGTGACAACACAGCTCGGAATCTATGATGATGGAGCGCCTTTGGAAAATACACGATTTTCCCCTTGTCTGGTTCAGATGAAACCCCACATATTATAGGTAGGACTACTCGTATCCGAGAGGAAAATAAACTGACGATGATCATGAAGACCCTTTAATACACAGAGGTAGTACCTTTAATACACAGATGCACCTTCTTAATACATTCCTTCTATGTACTATCACCGCACTCTCTATGTATCTATGTACTATCATCTATGCATCAACGCCATCATCTATGCATCAACGCCATCATGTATGTATCAGCGCATCCGATGTAATGCCATCGTGAAGTGATTTCTGCATCGGCGTCTTATTCTGCGTCTAGAAGTCAAACTTCGGAGGATATTTTCGATAATGCAACTTCGGCACAATGCAAGACAATAAATCTCGCACAGAATTCAGAGCAGACTGCCTCACACAACAGTACTATAATCGTACTATCATACATTCACTAGTAGAGCCCGAACTAGAAAGCCCGTGGAGCCCCAACTAGACGTAGTATTCAGGAGAGCAGAAAAATTCACTTCAACAACGTAGTATTCAGATGAGCAGAAAAATTCACTTCAACCCTAATGGTCGATTCCTGAGTGTCGACACCTCCACCATCACCTCTTCTTCGATTGTGGCTGTTTCCGGTTGTGAAAACGCAATCTTAATAGGCAGCTTCACTCCGCCAGCCTTATCTGTGTCGCTACCGTTAGAACTAGTACGGTCCTTGCATCTTCCTCTTTCTTGAGAGTACTGTAATAGGATCCTTGGAAGCAAGGTGCTTCTTTTTCAAGTAGAAAAAGAAGAACTACCAAGGGTCATCAGGAGACACGAAGGAGACACGAAGTTCTTGATCACCAAGTTCAACATTTTCCTAAGACAAGACGCCACACGAAGTGTATGGTCTACCAAGTGCAACAACTGCGTAGCAATTTGCTTGTGCGTGCTCTCCACAACAGCACTTCCCGGATGTGCATCGACTAGCAATCCCAATTGTTAGTGCAGAGAAAGACGAACGAACAATTTCTCTCGGCTTCAAAAATTTCTATAGCTTTCTTGGTACACGATCAACGTCCTGAAAAGCTTTTCCTTGATGTCCTCCTATATCCTACAGGAATTGCTTAGGTGAGCTCCGACGTGCAGAAGTGATACACACAACATTCAGAAGAAACTAGTAGAGAACAGACAGCTGCATGAATGACTAAACGGTGTACATTATGTCTATGTGCACAAAGTCTGTCATAAGTCGAGTCCATATGCACGCGCGGTCGTAGTGCCAACACTCCGCCATTCATTGCGGTACCGTTTGCCCGAACGCCATCATTAGTGTGGACTTTAATTGCAAGAGAGAGATAGAAGATGTAAATGATGGATTGAGAGTACATAGATCATCCTCACTCCCTCTTTTATTTCTGGCCAGTACTTTCTCTTCTTTCATGGATATTTTCTCTTGTTCTATATGGCCACTTTTTTTATCCTACTGGATGAAGAGTACACATTACTTTTATATACACGATGAAAACCGCCTTCAACAATAAAAAGTAAGTGTCTGCAGATTCAAGATTCATCCACTTCATCCCTGACCAACACCACGAAAGTGCCTTAATATTTCCTGCTTCGCTAGTCCCTATCTGGTGGTGATGCTCATCGCCGCTATCTCCTTGAGGATCGCCAACACCGGGAAACAAAACGGTACTCACCGTATGCGCGTAACCAGATTGATTTTCCGAAGAACTTTCAGTGCTCCAGTCCTCCGAATCCGCTGATATGAAAACGAAAAGTAGAAGTAGAAGCAGTATCGTGTCCTTATATACAAAAGTTATGGACAATCAACATTCATCTGTAGTTACTCATCAGTATCTATGAGACTGCAGTATCTGCATTCATCTTGTTACTCTAATCCTGCTTGTGCTTCTTAGCTGCACAAGAAGGAACACATGATCGGCTGATATGCGTATGTAAGTCCTGCCATATAAAAAGCCTCCTGCAGCAGATCTGCTGAATCTGGACTTGCGGTCGCAAACACTGAAAGGTCCTTCTCCGAAATGAGATCCACTAGTATGCGAAAAAAATCTGCCTCAGAATACTCATCATCCGCCTCCAATTGATTCAAAAACCTACCCCATGCACGCCGTGCATCGACTTCCGCATTCCCCGAATCGCACTCAGCGTCACGTTCCTGAGAAACCATACTTGAAAAATTGGTGAAAATCATAAGTACTTCTTGAAAAATTTTTTGGATTTTGATGATTCTATATAAAAATTATACTTTCTCATGGTGGTTTTCCACTTACAATAATTTGTGATGTAGCCCTACCTAGGAAAAAGACGATAAAACTTGAATGTAGTCGTCGTCGAAGTCATGCTTTCCTAGTGATGAAAAGTACCTCCTCCCGATCGAGAAACAGCGAGAGGAGAGAGAGAAGACGTACAGATCGCTTTGGCTGGACACGAAGTGCTTCTCTGCGTATTACTTCGAGAGCGACTGGCACTTTCCCAGGCACTGGCCTTGTCGCAGCTCTGCCTCTCTCTAGTATCCGCCTCTTATCTTCGCTTAGAGCTCAAAACAAGGCAGCACAGAGGATTAGTAATATAATATCGTGTAAAGAACTGCAACTAGTACATCAAGAGTCACGATTATCTAATTTTTTCCCTGAAAGCATTTCCTCTGAATGAAGATCCTAGTCTAATTGGATGAAGGAAACCGAAGAAAATAATGTTGGAAAGATACATCGAGCCTTAATTCGGGTTTCCTCTGTTGCTTCGTATCACAAGCAAAATCGCTGGCGGAACGGGCGTGCGCCGTCATAGGAGAGTTCAGTGAGGGAGATTTCGAGAGCGGGATCCAGGTGGCGTGCGAGTATCGGGATCCAGGTGTGCCTGTCGCTTGATCCGTCTCGGACTCTTCTGTCGAAGTGGGAGACCCGTTTTCCCGGGACTTCTTCAACTGCCCCCCCAACGACGGGAACTTGTTCTTCGATATTTTAATTAGAGGTTGCGGAGTTGCATTCTTCAGAACATCAGGTAGGTTTTTGGTGCTCGCGGGTTCCCCCGCTTGTTATGCCTTTCTCTCCCCCTTAGGATGAGAGAGGCATAAAAAGCGGTAAGAAAAGCACATTAAAGGTCGTGTACCCTTAATTTAAGCGGTAGCGACAAGGCACGAGATGGAGGAGATGGAGTGCTCAAACCACTTGTTGGAGCAGAAGCAGGAGTTGGGACGGAAGTTGGCAGGAATGGAGCATCAATGGGTTGAGTCTCCACGGGTAGAGCATCACGACCTGCTGACTCCGCGGGTGGTGGAGCATCATCTGGTGTAGTTTTGATGTGGAGCTGCTCTGCCAGGCCAACACGACGACGCAGCACAGTACCCAATCCATTGGCCGTGTCCTCGCCCAGATTGAAACGGGGAACCTCTCTTGGAGACGTTTGGTCATGCTCCGCGTCGAGGAGATTATGCCCTGTTTTGTCACGCGTCCCACGAGGAATGCTCGCTGTTCGCGACGTCGTGTCCTTGTTGTTCTTTAACGCCAAGTCGGTCTCCGCCTCCTGGTGAGCAGCTTCTTCGTCCGACGCATCGCCCAAGAGCCGAGTGCGGCGTAGCTCTGACGCAATGCTCTGCAGCAACTGCTTATCGGACTCAGCCGGTGGCGATATAAAGTGGTCAGTGGTCTTCACCTCTCCTCTAGAACTACGCTCCTCCTGTTCGAAATCCTCCTCATCGTCCTCACGACGAGGACCATTATCCTCAGATGCCGCACGACCACTAGAAGAGGTCTTGTCTAAAAACAAATCTGGTGCCGCTGCGATCTCCAGGTGACGGAGGTTCAGCGATCGGCTACCCGCAACCTTCGCCATAGTACTGACTGCTGCACGCGCGGCTTCCAACGTCGCAGCTGTCGCCATTGTAGGTCCTCGAGACGCCGAATGTTAGAGCTAGGCAATCACTGTGATATCCCTGTTTGAGTGGAGTGTTGCGCTGGAAGGTTCAAGGTTCAAGGTGTTGCGCTGGAAGGTGCACCCTGATTACATTACAATACAATTAATCTCGCACAAAGTTCAGTGCAGACTGCCATAGGTTATCACAAATATTATAGAATGAAGAAGTTGTATCCCCAGAAGATGTATTTGATCTTGTGATATCCTTGAAGAGCACTTCGGTCTAGTAGCGGTATTCGTTTCCCCTGGACTTCAAAAAACGGGGAACCAACTTACCCAGCAACCTAGTCCGCACCTCCAGATAGTGACTGACTGCTCTTAAGAATGAAAGCTAGGTCGTTCGAGCACGTGCACCAAAACCCAAGGCTCCGCTCCTCCACTTCTTCCACCCGATCGCGACAGGCTCTCCTCGATCTGGCGGACGCGCGCTCCGAGTGCCCTAGCGAACTTCAGGCGTTGGTAGGATATTGCGGAATCCTCAGAGTTGTCAGATGGAGGCCCGCCAATGTCTTGTTCTGAAGTATAATTAGGTACTAGAAGGAAAATCACTGCTGATGCTATTTTGGCTGCCGATTTCCACCCAGAGGACAGTGCTGGCTCCTTTTTCCGTACGACTACGTGGTCTGCACCGGATCGAAGCGCATTTTCGTAGAACGCGTTGCGCAGCTCGTAAACACCACTACCAGCAAGCAGATCGACCAAGGGCCGCCAAAACACTTCCACCATGGTGCCTGGATTGTGCGGATTTTCTTGCGACCCGTAAAAAACTCCGGTCTCGAGCAATCTTCTTGCAGGAACAGCTGGTGCAGCGACTGCATCTGCTTGACGTCCTCTGGACGCGGACTCCATCCTCTGGAATCCATCCACAGGAGAAGATGCAGCATGTTGCACCGAAAAAGGAGGAGCTACGTGTCGGAACTGCAAAGAGACCTTGGTTTTCTCCTCTTCGCTCAGATCAAAAGCGTCCCATTTCAGTTCTACAGAATGCGTCCCAAGCCGCACACTCGTGACACCTTGTCGCGGCTTCTTGCGGGCTGACTCCTGGCGCAAAGCCTCTTCTTCCAACTCGGAACGCGCGCCGCCATTAGAGCTTCTACAACAGGATAATGATAAAAGGAACGAAATCTCAATCAGAATGCTCGTAATCTCAATAGTACGGTTAGACACGACAAAGGTGGAGCAAGAAGAGAAAGGTACACTTGTTCTAGCCATAGTACCATCCGACTCGTCGTCCGAAGACAGTACAAGACGTCGCACGCCCTGAGACTGCGCTCCTGCCCTACTGGCACGCAGGCGCCGACGCCGTGATCGCTGCCTCTTCAAAAACTCTCGCCAAGCCTTGGCTTTCCGCCACCAGTCCACAGCATCCGCTGGGTTATGGATGTCGTCTTTTCCATCTGTCAGACCATGATCCAACCTGCTCCTTTTCCCCTTGATGATAATGTGAAAGTGTATTTAGAAGTCTGATTGAAAGAAGAGTCTCGAAGATGGTCTGAAAGACGGAAAAAGCGACATTCATATGGGTCGTCAACACGCTGAAACAGAGGCATCTTCTGATCCAGGTCTTCTGCAGCGGTTTTCTGATGTTCCATGCTCACACGACCACCGCCGAAAACTCGAGATGAGTTGTCCTCTAGAACAAGAATAGGCTGCTGTAGACGAGCAGTTGTGCCGGTCCTCTGATGTGCATGCAGTGGTGCTAGGTTCGACGACGAGCCTAGGTAAAGTTTCGCTGTCGATCCACTTAAGACTTCTGCAGCTGTGCGAGGATCGATTGGGGCTTGTTGCTCATCGCCGCCTCCGGTGCCACCTCCTGGCATCGGCCGAAGTCTCACTACCATCTCGACTCCCCAAACACTGGACTGCGAAGTGCTCGATGGGCAAGAATTTTCCATGTGCATGTTTGTCTTTGTGCCAAGAACACCAGGGAGAGGAACCAGGACGTCAACATCTTGAGCTCGAGAACTGTGAGTGGCGTCACCTTGACGAGGACCTGGTTCGTCTTGTTGTTGAACAAAATGTCGATGGGTAGCCGTTCCAGCAGATGATGTCTTCCATGGAAAAGGAGTAGGAGTAGCACCCTCAACTTCTTCTTGCCCAGAAATACTCCAGCTTCCTGGAACATCGGAATACCCAGTGAAACCCCAAGCGGGCGTAGACACGAATGACGGGGTAGAATCGGAAGAACTACAGAGTCTCTCTGGAAAATGATAGCGGGAAATCGGAGTGTCACGACCCTTGAAGATGCCTGAACCGCTGATGCCAGAACCAAAGCATATTACCGGTGCAAGAGTGCAGCAAGCGAGAAAAAACCACCGTCTCAACATCCTGCTGGCACTACTGGCAAGGCAGCCTATGCGCCAATAAGAACAAGAGATCCCGCGATAGCAGACTCGGGATCTTCTTAGGATTAGGATTAGGAGGGTGTCCGCCGTCCGCAGTTTTACCTGCCTTCTACGCAAGCTATAAAGACGTTTAACAACGCCTGGTCCAAGGAGGTCCCAGTATCTTTATGCTGTCAGGAATCTCATTCTTGGATACAATTACTGCAGATGATTTAGCTGTGAAGCTCAATCTCAACATAATTCTGGAAAGAAATGCTGGATTCCAACAGCACATGAAATTATAACTCGAACACACGCTAGCGTATGGTGTTCCTCTGTCAGTGTGAACCACCAACCAGCACTAGAACACGATGGAGAGACATCAAGCAATGGGATAGAAGGAGGTCCTCGTACGCGACTACATATTTTACAGATTCGACAGGTCTCTTCAGGACAGCTGCCTAGTCCTGCTATCACCTGACAATGGCAGGAGGATTCCTACGTAGAGCAACATGCTAGTCCTGTATAAAATCTGAGGGTCCATCCAGGGTCATGGATATCCTCCTCTCTTACCCTTGAAATTTCTTTGGTGCTGTCGCTCTGTGTTTCATTCGATCTTTTTAAACGGCAATCTTCTCTGATTCTATTTCTATGATGTTTTCAAATGAATATTCTTCGTTGCGTTCGAAAACTACAGAATAGCACTACAATAGGAAAACAAAATACAAATAGATACAAGCTATGATGGTACGTCGCAAATAAGCTCAAATAGATTACTATGTCTCAGCTACATTGATTAGATGCGGAAGAATCCTTGCGGCCTGTGCATGAAGTACAGAAGTGCTTGATTTTAAATTCAATGTCTGTGGGGTTTATCGTGCTACGGAAGTAGAAGCATTAATCTTCTCGGTAACCATTGCAAATTCTAGTAAACTTAAACTTAAACATTATGATCAACCTTGATAGAAATTCAACTAAGTATATGCGGGAAGTGAAGCGGTGTGATAGATCAGTTCGAAAATTTTCACTTAAAAGGGCATGCTCGGGCATGTGTTTATTTTCTGATGAAAATAGAACAACAGCGTATGTTGAGTGTGTACTAGTATGTTGAGAACAATAACATTTTAAATATGACGTTGAACTACATGTACTACATGTGATGCGCATGTGCACAATCATTTGCTTACACTTATTTTCTGTTACCTGTTCATTTTTACATCTCTGAACATAATCCTAATCTTATTGAATAATATTCTGCGTTCTTTTCCATTTCCTTCTCTCCCTGGCAACTGCCTTCTCACCTAGAAAAGGCCGCTCCCGTCATTGAGCATGATGTATTTAGGCGCTGCACCCACCTTCTTAGGGGGTTTCCCTCTATTCTCCAGCGTTGCCCAGGTAACCCCCTTGTAGCAAGCGCGACCTGTATTGTCACGAAGAAGGAAATGATGTTGTTGTAACAATAGAGGTTCAGGACCATCATAGTGAAACAGGACCATCAGAATGAAACAGGACCATCAGAATGAAACAGGACCATCATAGTGAAACAGGACCATCATAGTGAAACAGGACCATCATAGTGAAACGATGTTGCAAGGAAGACTACAGAGAATCCGTCAGACTGATACTGAATGCTTAAGAAAACGATGAAGTGCGAGTCGATTTGATTGACCAGTCGCAGTCTAGTCGTGTAAAGCTAAAGTTTTTCATTCCATAATAATTTGTCGTGACTCACAAACCACATAGATGTGAAGCGCAAGGTACCAGACAAATAATTTGTCGTGACTCACAAACCACATAGATGTGAAGCGCAAGGTACCAGACAAATAATTTGTCGTGACTCACAAACCACATAGATGTGAAGCGCAAGGTACCAGACAAATAATTTGTCGAGACTCACAAACCACATAGATGTGAAGCGCAAGGTACCAGACAGTCTAGTCGTGTAAAGTTTTTCATTCCAGACAAATATTACCATCCAGATATCCACCCGAGTCTTCACTTGGTGCCTCTTCAAGCAACTGCAGCCGGTTCAAGCACATATCGTACTGCCCCTCTCCATTATAGGCTGGCATGACGGGTGGAGGTTCTGTCGGAACTCCTTCATTAGAGTTCTTCGCAAAGAATGTTTACGTAAATTACATCCTATGCACAAGCACAGAATTCTTCTTACCCTAGTCAGTACACAACTACGAGGATGGTTTTCTGAGGAAATGACGAGCATGATGTACGCACCAACTAGTACTACAAGATCGTTGTATGTACAAAAGTACTTAACCCAAAATCAAATATGTCATCCATGTTAAGCATCGTCGTTTGAGAGTCATAACTTTACCCTTTACCACTTCAGGCATCGTTGTATCCGCAACTATCGACGTGTTCTCCAGACTCTGGAACATGCTAGTCCTCTCCCTAGTCCTGTCCTCGCCATGATTAGAACTACCGCATTGGGCATTCCTGGGAGCATCTATATAGAGCATTCTCCTTTTTGGGAGCATCAATATAGAACATCTTCCTTTGGAACATCCTCCTTTGGAGCATCTTCCTTTGGAATAAGGTTCTTCCTTTGGAACATCTTCCTTTGGAACATCTTCCTTCGAAGCATCTTCCTTTGGAATAAGGTTCTCCCTCACTAAAACGTCTCGTTTTAGCCGAAAAGAAGCCAAGTAGGATGTGGTGGCCTCGTTTTCAAGTACAAAAAGAGCTGCCGAGAGTGCTAAAAACAAGGGTCATCCTTCTAGAACCTAGCTAGGATCTTCCTGTGATGTTGAGGATTAGCCTTAACTACATTGTCTTCGATACTAGCGTTTGTCCGCGCTGTCTCTTGCGCTGGGCTCAAACTGCGAGTGGTCAGTGCGCCATCCCCCTCATTCGCTCCACGCTGATACAAGTTTGCAACATGGAGCACTTGTCTTCTTAAATGTCAAATCACAAAACAGATGAAGTAGAATTATAGACAAGTCCTCATATTAGCACAATAAGCTTTGAAGCAGAAATAACAGCGCCTAGTAGAACGATATTAAGTATCCACTATATGATATCTTCAAATTTAGGTTGTCGCTGACGAAATGAAAACGCATGGTTCAGGTAGCTCTCTAGAGTTAGATTTTTTGAGCGGGACTGCTCCCAACTCTTTGCTTGAGGACTAAGGGCTACCTACTAGTAACAGAAAAGCATTCAAAACAACTACTAGTACCACCGGACTGTAGGAAGCCGGACGTCGATCCCTAGCACCGAACCCTTCCGAAATCGTAGTGTAAAACCTGAGATAGGGGAACGAATTGGAGATCGTAGTGTAAAACTACATTGAGAACAGTGTAAGCTACATTGTTGAGGACAACAAGATGCAGGCTGTTCATGCTACTGCTAGGCTCGATCCAATAAGAAACAATCTCATTGGCCTTAGAATTTAAGAAACGTCTCTTCTTGATAAAATGAAAAAGAATTTTTGTATCATGTGCGATTAGCTGTAAGAAACAAGAACAACTTATCAAAGGACTTAAAATTTACCTCCATACTAGAGAGTGTTCCAAGAAAGAACAGGAGTTAAAATTTACCTCCATACTAGAGCGTGTTCCAAGAACAAAAAAAAACAAATTCAAGTGAATACTGTTTCTGCATCGATCTTCCGTGTGATCTGGAGTACTTTGTTGGGGCGCGGCGCTGTTTTGCAAGCTCCTTAGGATGTAAGAAGTCGCGCTGCGTCTGCGTTTTGTAATGATCAGCCGGATTCCAAAAACTTCGACTATACGGATTACGTCTCTGAGAAAGCGTCTCCTGCTCATGCTTGGCCTTATCCTGAGATGAATCAAAAGGTCGTGTTCCATAGTACATGTCACCACTATATTCTGCGAAAAGTGTGGAAAAATACTTAAGTCAAATGTAATTTTCAAACTACACGACAAAGGACCGATGTATCTCTTGATTCACTTTTTCAATAGATGAGTGGATAGATGGATGGATGCATGGATTATAGATAAATAGCGCGATAGCAAGATCGTTATTCCAGCAAAGTAGAGCGGATGAAGTACTACAAATAATCCATAAGGAAAAAACCAGTTTTCAGTTTGGTTACTTAGTGCGGGTCGATAATATAGGTTGGTTGCTTATAAGTTCCAGGGGAGCCTTAAGTAGGACCTGCTACTGCAGGAGAAAAAGTTACCTACCTACTCCCAGTGTAGGACCTACAAGGTGGTATGCCCCTAAGCTGGATAAAACTCCATTTAGTACAAAGTTCTGGATGAAGAGTTGTTTCTTCTGGGCCGCTTCCTTCTCCGGAAAGGATTCAAGGGACGTCCTGGCTGCGCGTGGTAGATGGAGTCCTTGACCCCGTGGCGAAAGGGATGAGGTGTCGTACAAATCCGATGACACGTGCTAAAATTAGCGCGTGGAGGGACTATAAAGCTTGTTTAGTCTAGGGTATGGATCCTGCACATCGAGTCCTCAACATCGAGTTTCTCAACGACCACTACTCCGTTACGATATTACGATGAATCATAGCTAAATAGATTGATTGATAAATATAGATAGATAGCTAGATAGATAGATAGGTCGACGCATTCCAACTCTGAGTTCGTTGCCTTAACAAAGAGTCTTTTTCTGTCGGACTCCAAGTTCGTCTACGAAAGAGCAGATGTTGTTATGTCTCGGGTGTCTTTCGAGACTAACGCTGGCTTCCCGAATCCCAAGCGCCGTGTCTTCGTGCTCGTGGACTTAGATGAAGTAGAAGGTACACTAATTTTTGGCAAAAATTTTTTGCTTGAAGGGATACATCTACTAATAATTAGAGGCTACTCACTAATGGCAGGTACACTAATGAAGGTACGCTATGGCAGTATCCTTTGCGTTTGCGTGATAGTCGTAGTGAAAAATCCAGTGAGTCAGTGGAAAGTTCTTTATTAAGGGATTACTTTTTTCTTTACATGCTTCATTGCATATGATCTATGCACCGCCTTGTTATTTGATGAGAGAAGCTTTCATTTTAGATCACCAAGAAAGACATAGTACACCGTAGATACTTAGAAAATACGCAAGTGGTCTTAATCTAAGGTTCCACGCGCTTTCGTCCTTCCAAAAGGTTGCTCGCCAGCCGTGGATGTCCTGCCCTGTCGCGCAAGTGCGTGATTGTTTGGTCTACTCGGGTTAGAATTCCTGTTCTCTATTCCAACAACTGGAGGACACGTGCCTTCACTCCGGTCTAGACTGCTGCTCCGCCTATAGAAGCCTCCAGGTAAGGTGGCGTTCATCACGGACTCTCCCCTCCGAGGTTAGAGGTTGTCACAATTCGAGACAGAAGACTGCTTGAGATTGCAATGTGACTGCAATAAAGACTATAGAGGATCAGGATGAGACGGAATGGCTCCGAAAAGGAAAAGGATGAAAAACGAATCGGACCCTAAACCTCTATGCGCCTTTCATCTTGGACACGTTTCTTCGTTCTCCAGTCTGTAAGTCTTAACTTGGAATCGGCTCTAATGACTTCGAGTTGCTTGCCACACCTTCCCTCTCAAACATTCGCGTGGCTTTTCTCTCCTGCACCAATCTATCCCGCACTGACCCAGATGATTAGAGAGGTGACAGAGTGTGGAGGGGCATGTCTCAAGATAGTGGAAGAGTACCTGAAAGCATCCTTGACCTCACTTGCTGAGCATGCAGGAGTAAGGGTATATCTAGAAAGGTGAATATCTAGAGAGGGTCTTGAGTACCTGAAAGCATCGTTGACCTCACTTGCTACTTGAGAAAGCAGAGCCAACGAAGATCATAATTCTATCCTTGTCTTTCTCCACCCCTTTCCGTACGCAGTTACTTATACTCGAAAAAAGGATACTTATAGCACTTCTTAAACAGAAGTTTATCTACACTTCAGGTCCGTCTAGGTTGGAGCCTTAAGAGAAGGACGTGGCAGGAGGCTGAAAGGACAATGGTGGGAGGTGTCCGGGTTCCGTTGTTTCCTCCAAGGGACTCGTAGCAGCATTTGTGCTCGCGGCTGTGCTACGACTCGAAGAGTCCTGGCTTTGCAGGTGCATGCGCTCCTTCGACATGCCTCCTAGCTGCGGGAGCATTGCCCCAGCCTTGCCCATCACTTTATTAGACCTTGCTTGTATGCACGTTCATTCCATTCATTCATTTACCTATAGCACGAGGTAGCGTCTCGGGGCAGCGCATCTTCGACCTCTTTCATTCCTCTCGAAAGCCTGTCAAAGATACCTCTTTTCAACTAAAACTACGTAGACGTGAACTACCTCTAATATAAACTAAGACTAGTAAGTACAGGAGGTACATGAAATTGTGTCAAGTACAACGCGCTCTCGTAATGAGGTTGAGAAAGTACTCAGCCTCTCGCGCAAAGAAGTGGATTCGTTGTGAAAGTCTTATTTGTTCTGAAAGTCTTAATAGCTGCTCCCTCACGAAGGCCCCTCATTCTCGCCCTGACAGGTTTACTGCTCCCCTCGTTCGTCGTCGTTTTGTATTAGAACTGTCCGCAGTTCATCTTTCAAGGATCCAGTCGAGAAAGATGAATTTTAGTACAGATGTGCATGGGCTTACTCCTACTACTCCTAGCAGGGATCCAGTCGAGAAAGATGAATTAGTACAGATCATCCTGGCAGTTTTTCCCCTTGAAATGAGCGCCAGGATGACCCGTTAAAGATGGGAAAAAAGAAAGAAGCTTATCGAGAAGGAGAAAAAAGTACGTGGATTAGCGAGTGCCAGAATGACCCGTTGTAAAGATGGGAGAAAAAACATCATTCATACCTGTACTGACTCAGCTTGTGCGCTTTGTAACGGAAGTGACGTGCATCAAGCGTAAACTTCTCCGGTTCCACCAACTCCCGCTCATCGTTCTTCAAAGAGCTAAACGTCCGATGCATGTAATTCGGCATCCGCTTAACCTTTTTAGAGCGAGTCCTAGAGTGAGAAATCCTAGTAAAAACGGAAGTGAATAACTTGAAATCCAAAGAGTGTAAGGCATCGATTTAACGAGCTTGTTGATGAGGTATTTAGAGAACAACCGACAAACGGTAAACACAGGAAGAGTGAAAAATAATCCTAGTCTCTCGTCCACTGATGAAAAGGGCATAATCTGTCCACTTTAGTACGTACAATCTAGATTCCTGCTTATCATGTCGTCAAAGGGAAAAGCTAACCGGCTGTTTCTCATAGGGTCAGCTGCGCACGTGGAACAGCGATTATGTTCTTGGCAGAAGTATTAAGAAGTGTTTGACAATATTTACAAGTGTATTCAATCATCTTCGTGCATAGACAGTCGTGTTCTTAGCGCCTAGGTTACTGCTTCCTCGTTGCGGATGTACCTATATCACCTATACTTCTATTTCGTAACTTTGACTAGTTTCATTTCTCCTTTCTCCTTGGATTCGAGTACTTCTACGTCTGGAGCAGTCGCGCAGAGCAACTCCTCACGCGTTGCGCGACCTCGCCTTTGCCCATCGAGACCCACGTATTCCTGAGACACTAAAGACACATACATTAGAGCTCTAAAGACACTAAACACACTAAAGACACATACATCGCATCCCTCAGAGCATCCGAAACTACCACAGTTCCTACTTGAAAAAGAAGCCAATCCCCCGTCAGAGTTCCTTCCCTTCTTTTTCATAGGTAGAAAAAGCGCCAGGAGTGTTCTGCACGCAGTTCAAAACACATGAACGACACGTGAGGAGAGCGGTCAAGCGGTGAGGATGCTTCAGCGGTAGCCTTAAATACACTGGCTTTCCTTGTACCGGCAGACGATTTCCCTCGGAGACCCCACGGTAAGGTCGACCCTTCACGCCGCTCATCCTGTGAGTTGTACATCATTGAAGACTACAGACGTTTAGAAGACTATTGTCAGCGATAAAAATAAGTAGAGAGGAGAGTTTATGACAAATACGCATATCCCGGTCTTGCCTGGGCATATTTTATCAATATCAGTTTTATGATGTATACGCATATCCCGGTCTTGCATGGGCATCGGTGATATTTTCGGACCGAAGCGTAGGCGGAAATCCAGCTGCGCGCTCGTTAAAACTGGAACCCCAGTTCTTAGAGTTGAGGAAATGTTTTTTCAACTCAGTGTTGGATGGTTTCAATTTCAAAAAAGCCTAACTATAAATCGTATGTACTGTAAAGTCCAATGTACCATTTTCTTTTGGAAATTTTCAATGCCTTAACATCAGCGAAGACGCTGCGCCCAGCGGCTATTAGCTCTTTGCCATGGTTCGCCCAAACGAATGGTTGCAGTGTCCCGCCATTCACTGGCGGCATGGATTAGAGGACTTGGGTTTTACGTCTAAACCTGGTTAGCTATCATAAAATCGTTGTCCTAATGCTAGTTATGTTATAGTTCTTATAAAAAAGAGAATCTCCACCTATTGATCTGCAACTGTTGTCTATGAAAGTGAGTAAGCCAACACGATCTGCTGTAGTGGAGCTCTCGTGTTGTTACTTAGAGGAGGTCAGTGTACATGTATCTTGCTGTTCTTGCTACATGTTGCTACGACCTTGATATGGAGAACTTCAACGTAAATGTCCCAAAAAATCTATTCAAACTAGTTTGTTACGTTTACATTTATTCACAAAGACGTGAGGACGAATACACTCAGGCCTATAATATCAAATAGATTGCAAATAGGGAGGACTACGAACGATCTGGGAACCATCGAGGGAAATTAGCCGGGTAAAAATAGAGTCCAGAAGCCATAAATAGAGACTCGCCCAAGCTGAACTTTATGCAAAGGCTGCAATGTCCGATGACATACTAACCGGGGTCCACGTGACCCTGATGGCGGCAGCGTTCGCACCATGATATTTGGCGAATAGAACAGATATTTTTAGAGGTATATTCGTATCAGGAATCGTCTGGCTCTCTTTTTCTTCTTGTCTTGTTCTCTCTCTCTCTCTCAGATGACTCATTCGGAGACGAATTCCCTACACCCATAATTTGTAGAGTGGAGGACGTACGACGTATGATGTTGAGGTCAAAACCCCTAGCCGAAGAAAGAAGAGAACGTACTCGGCCCGAGCATGTTCCATGGAGAAGCCGTTGTGATTACCATTCTTGCAGAACAAGTTACTCGTACAAAATCAAAACTCGGACTAGCTCAGTCCTGTAGGTACTGTCGCTCCTTACCCGTAAATTTCTCGAAGGGACGAAGGATCCCTAATCATGCATGCTATGATATACTGCATATATGCACGTTGTAAGCGCACTACATGGATAGTTGATGCTACTGCATGCACTGGTGTTGCCACTGTTGTTGGATATGGATACCTACTTAGCATACTACTGTTTTAGTAAGTACTTATTATCTTTGTGCCTCCATATTCCTATGAGAATCATGGTCAGGCCATCTAAGATGGTGAATTCATCTTGTCGAAGTCCGTACAAATCCAATAAGCATGATCAGAAAACAAAGAAACAAAGTACTTATCACAGTTAGCTCTTGAGGGAAAAAAAGCGGGATTCGATGTGGGGAGGAGAGTTCGCGAGTGCACCATAGAGGACGCCGTGATCTCGCAAAGATTTCATGATCGGATCAACCTCATTTCACATATACCACTACAACCGATAATCCCTTGCTACAAGCGATAATCCTTTACTACAACCGATAATCCTTTACTACAACCGACTATCTGTTACTACAACCGACAGTCATTTGCTACAACCGAGAGTCCTGTACTACAAGAACCGACTATCCCTTCGTCCAGCCATAATCGGCCGCCCTCAACTACAAGAACCGACAATCCTTTACTGCAAGAACAGAAAGTTTTCCGCAGATGTGCGGGAGTTTCCACGCTACCAAGACTAAACACGTTGCATGACGACCAGGGTGGGCTGTTTAGCGAGAGATAGGATAGGATAGGATAGGATAGGTGAGGGTGCCTTTGCTCAGTCCATCTTTTTCATAGCCTCTAGATGAACCCGCATCATATTGTTGCCCGAACGGAGTACAGAAACCAGGACAACGCACACGGTCTACTGTCTTAGACTTACAATTCCAGGCTCATTCGATTCATTAAAAGAGAAGGCACATGAAATAACAACGTTAAAAAGTAGGTAAAAGGAATCGAGTCTTTACTATGACACGAAGATGCGAAGAGTTCGCATCTTCTTTGGAATTTTGTATATTTTTTCGCTCTGCGTGCATCTTTCTACTTACTCCTGGTGGCTTCAACATGCACCAAATAATAACATCAAATCACGCGAAATCTTCTTGCGGTAGTTGTAATCGTTTACCCATTCAGCAAGAGGAAGGGGGAAGGGTTGTTATCGCGAGAAACATTAATCTGGTCAAGGCTCTGAAAGGTCTCTGATAGAATGCAGAGAGACAAGCGCACAACATTTTTTGTAGAATCATTATGGATGAAGCCTTCTTCTCTTCACTATCCGTCGCGCTGGTACTTCTCGCTTCATTCTTTTCAAAATGCAGCGCGTATCCTCCGTGTCCTTCTTGCTGGAGAACACAAAACACCACGACAAGCTCCAGCCATCACCATCATCACAATACGTCTCTGGTGGTCATCTTCTACCACTGGCAAGACAAGATAGTTCCGTGGCGCATGTTTTTCCATCGATTCATGTGGTTCCATGTCTTTCCTGCACAAGGATGCTGTCTTCTTCGAATAGTAAGGTCCTCTGGAATTAAAGACAGCACTCATTATTCATTCATTCATTTATTCGAACCACGTAGCACACCTCGGCGCCGCCTTTAATTATATCGACAATGAGTTGTCAGCGCGCGTGGTCTCGTATTGGACTTTAAATAGAAGAAAGCTCATATTGACTATCCAGCGACCTATAATAATTTCGCACTTGGCGCGATTATAGGTTCACTTTTATATCCTGACGCGTCTTCTCGAGTGGCCTGTAGAAGATGTAGATGCTTTTAAACTAGGATAAGATAGCATAAAAGCATAAAATATTGTTGCTTGTTCGAGGCGTCAATGTGCAAAGCTTTCTTAATTCTAAGTCCGCTACTATGACAGCATTCAAAAGGTAAAATTTCAACTGACTGCACGACTCCTGTATTGGCAATTTATTAGACTTCGAAGAGTGTTGACATATTCGTCGCACCGCCTACGAGAAGTGCGTTGACTTATGTCAGTCCTCTGTGGCGTCATCATGAAGATCTTTGAGTCTTTGGCTGCACAGAAATAAGTGGACTTTCCGCGATGTTGGCAATCTTGTAGACCGTGTCGACAATTTATCAGCAGTCCGAAGAGTCTAACGATGACGTTAGTCGGCTCGGATTTGACCCACGACTTCCCTGCGTATACTTTGCTGTGGGCTTGCTAACACAGGAAGAGCCTCCACCGAAGGTGGACGTCCTCTCATCTCTATCTGCCTCCGTCCTCCACAGTGCACGACAGTTAACCGTATCAAAAATCCTGCTAAGTGGTCAATAATCTTCCTTACTTACTTAAAAATCGTGTGCAACCTACTCACTTCATTACTTCATAATTTTGTACGTAGTCACTCCATGCATTTTTCTGTTGCGTAATAATCACTTACATTCCCGATTCTACTAGCTTTGTCTGCTCACTTCGATACAACCCTAAACCCATACATCCCAACAATCTTGCTTTTCCTCTACATATACACTTTGGAGTGCTACCTCCACCGCATCTCCAAAGTACTTGAGCCCCTCCTCCAGACTTCTACCTCCTCCAGTACTTGAGCTGCCCCTACCTCCTCCAGTACCTGAGCTCCTCCTACCTCCTCCAGTACTTGAGCTCCTCCTCTTTCACTCCACGCGAAAATCTCCTTTTCCATTTTCCTGCTTCCCAAACCCATCTTTTGCACGAACTACATGCCTTAGCAGCCGCCGAGGCAGCCCACAACTCCAAGCGGGCTGTTTCCAGGCTGCTTGAGGAATTCCTGCGCCGGGGCCGCAGTGTTGTCCTCGACCTGTTCATATCATATTTGAATAAATCAGCAGCACAAACGCACGAAGCACTGTAGTGCGTCCACTACAATAAATGAATCAAGTTTGTATGACATAGAGGGGCGAGTAGCATTGAGTTCGTTGCTGTACTACATCGCGGGAAAAGTGCCGATGCTTTTTATGGATGTAGTTTTTTCCATCCTTCCGACGAACGAGGCTCCCCCCTGAGTACGTCATACACCTTTAAGTAGAGAAGTGGGGGTCAGGATGGCCGTAAGGATGAAATAAATTTCATCCATACTTTTCCCGCGATGTACCAGAAGACTGACCTTCCCACCCTAGCGTGATATCCCTCACTCGCGTTCCACCACTGCTTCTCATATGACCACTCGCGATCCCCGCATAAGCAGGGCACCAGTGTGGAGCCCATCTTTACCACACCGACGCGAGAGAGCGCATGACAGAAGATAGGGCTCGCATCGGTGCACACTAAAATCGCATTCATATCGCATACCACAGACCGCGAACGAGCTAGCAATTCTGACCATGCCTCTTGAGAAGCTGGCCACTTGACGTGAAGATGCATGTTAGTATAGTATGTTGTCGTCTACAAGGTACGTAGAAGAAAGAAACTAGCCCGTCCCTCAACGAACCCATCCACGTCGCTTGATACGCAACGCCGAATCTATACTCAGGACAGAACGAACCGACCCACAACACTTGACGCGCAACGCCGAATCTCTAGTCAGCATAGATTCTGCTGTGGTGTAAAACAGAACGAGCGGAACTTGCGGCCCGGAACCGAGTCCGGGCCACGTATTATTTTGACGGCTTTTATTGCAAACGACAAATAAACACCTCGAAAACAAAAGTGGACAACCCACTATCCCCATTCCCATTCCCCCAGTCCTTCGAAACCCAGCACAGAGACACGTTGCAAGTGCACGACACCAAACGCTCGCACGAAGATAGATGCTGAAACTATCTTCACTCATGAAAGAAAGGTGGTGAACAATCAGAAGCGCTAAACATCAAAGGGTATCTAGTGGCTGTTTGTACCTCCTCGCTGGCATCTTCTTGAGATCCTTCAGGAATAGGGGACAGCGTGCCGGCAGATCCCTTGGTAAAGGAGTTCGGTATTGTAGTTTCAGCCGCGCGAAAGCGAATGCTAGTTATATTCTAAAAACGTCTGTAGTACCAAAATGTGTCAAATATAAAATACGTCACAAAAATGGATGAGGCCACTATCTTTCACCAAGAACAAAGTCGCCAGTCCAGAAAAACGAAACTATCGTAGTTCGGGTTCAAATTTTCCGAACAATCACAAGCGCTAAACATCAAAGGGTATGTGGTTGCTGTTTGTACCTCCTCGCTGGCATCTTCTTGAGATCCTTCAGGCATAGGGGACAGCGTGCAGGCAGATCCCTTGGTAAAGGAGTTCGGCATTGTAGTTTCAGCCGCGCGAAAGCGAATGCTAGTTATATTCTAAAAACGTCTGTAGTACCAAAATGTGTCAAATATAAAATACGTCACAAAAATGGATGAGGCCACTATCTTTCACCAAGAACAAAGTCGCCAGTCCAGAAAAACGAAACTATCGTAGTTCGGGTTCAAATTTTCCGAACAATCACAAGCGCTAAACATCAAAGGGTATGTGGTTGCTGTTTGTACCTCCTCGCTGGCATCATCTTGAGATCCTTTAGAGGTACTTTCCGGTTCGACGGCAAATTCCTTAGCGAAGGAGTTTGGTAATGTATTTTCAGCCACGCGAGGTATAGTACTTCTGAAAACTCCTACGTCTGTGCTACAATATCAAAAGAGACAGCTTTTCACTAGAAAGAACAGAGTCAGCAGTGATAATATGAGAAGTAATGTTGAAAAGAGTCAACGATCAACCAACAGCGTGGTTAGCCTACTTAGTCGTTACTGTCAACCGAGGAAGGAAGAATTACCTTGGGAGTTTCACGGTCGTTGAAGGCCATCGGACCACTGTAGGGAAATCCATTCCAGGGCTGATCAAAGGAGTTTGGTAATGTTGATTTAGCCACATCATAAATGTCACTTCTAAAAAGGTCTGTAGGACTAAAAAATGTCAAATATTGAAAATATCAAATGAAGATCGGTTACAAATTGAAGTAGAAAAGTGCCAGCTCCTTGTTTTATCCAAGGCTTTCGGTGGAATTTTTCCACACCCAAGTAGCGGAGTGTAGAACAGCCAGGATCAGACTAATCACAACTATTATAAGTTGATAGTACTCAAACATTGCAAAAAATTTATCATTATCAAGCTAAATTATTAATCTATGCTGGCCCACGAGAAAGCAGACTGCTAAGCCACGCGTAGCGCCTCGGTGAGAAACACCGAGCAAAGGTCTCGTCTGGCGCAAGTTGAACCCACAGCCTGACAGTATTGACCATCGGCGGCTTGATCCCTGTGGATATTCGTTGGGGCTGCAAGGAATGACCCCGCCGGCAATCCCATAAAAAAACCGAAGGCAGCGCAATGCCCTGCCCATGAGCCGACGCATCCGAGTCGGCCAGCGCCGGCACTCGTCTCGTGTCGTAGTCAATTCGTAGAATGCAACAGCTCACCCGCGGCCTGTCTCTACTCTAGCGGCTGTAGCCCGTGGGGGGCAGATAAGTGCTAAACTTGAAGCCGGGCGAAGCTAGTGGAGGCTAGTGTCTGCGCACTCAGTGTACACGAAAAACTCGCACTCAGCGCGAACGAGAAGGCGAACTGAGCGCGGGTCTTCAAGTCCCCCATTCACTTTAAGCCCAGCAAAGAGAAACGTCCCTGGTGCACAACGCCAATGGCTGTCCTGGATTGCGCAGGCATACCCGTACGACAGCCAGCATTACTTGAAGGCACGAAAATTTTGTTGAATTACGAAAGCATTGGGGACGCATGAGCATAAACATAACCCAGCTGTCGAGGTGCCGAAAAATATCTACTAGCGCAACGCGGAGCAGCCACAATCACGCAGAGCGAGCCTTTTCCGACGATAAAAACGCTCGCGGCTTGACGCTCGCTGGCAAACAGGCACGCACAACCACACGCTGCGCACACAGTCGAGATCATTTACAAGCCAACTCAGCAGGAGGAGGCAGCGCCAGCACCAGTAGTCTGAGCCGCTCGCATGACTCTGCTTTAGACGTACTATGTCTAAAGCGCATGCGAACTAAGATAAAATACGACACGAAGATGGAGGAGACAATCCTGTTTCACCTTGGAGAACGAAATCGAGCATGATCGGTACTGTAAATTATAAGTCTAAGAAAAAAAGTTAAAGTGCCAGCTCGCTGATAGAAACAAAACAATCGTAGCTCTTGTCCAAACTATCCAATGCCTTCAGTTGAGTTTTTCCACACCCACGTAGCAGAGTTCAGGACAGCCAGGATCAGACTCATGCCTGCGGACACAAAAAAAAACGCTCAAACCACACCACACTATAAGCGCGACCGGGCAAGCAATCTGTTCAAAAAGCAGACTAAGTGATGCAAAGATACACCCCGTCATACGTTGGCGCGCGAGGCTTAAAGGTAATTATAGTTACAAACTAACCCATCCCACAACGAACCGACCCACATCGCTCGATGCGCAACGCCGAAGTTATAGTCAGCATAAATCCCGCGGCGTTGTAACACAGAACGAGCGGAACTTGCGGCCCGAAACCGAGTCCGGGCCACGCATTATTTTCAAGGCGTTCGGAAACGAACGAACACCTCGAAAACAAAAGTGAACAACCCACTATCCCCATTCTCCAACGCCTTCCAAACCCAGCAACGAGACACGTCGCTGATGAACAAACTCAAAGGCCTGTACTAGACTGCACAGGCATAATCGTACGACAGCCAGCTTTGCTTGAATTCACACGTAAATTTTGTTGATGTACGAAAGCACTCAGGACGCAGAAGCATAAAAGGCTCAACTGTAGGGAGGCCATAAAGATAAAACTAACCGCGCAGCACGTGGCCCAGATGACAATCAGAGAAGGGAGAACGAAGACCATCACGAAGATTCTGATAATGTAGTCAAACGCAAAGGGAGAAGTCATATGAAAAACAATTCTTCTACCATTCCGTGTCTACCGGGTTCGCCGAAAACCAAAAAAAAATTTTTTAATTAACTATTTAACTACATATTTAAGACCTATATATTAGTATTAACGCGCGCGCGAGCAAGGCACGAGACGCTAGTCGCTAGGCATCGGAAAGCAGAACAGGCAAGGCAAGTAGCGCAGGCTAGCAGAGGACGCCCCTTTCACCCTTCCCCTACCCTATTCCACACACTGAAGAGCTTTTTTGCTACTGATGGCCGGGTCATCGGACACGCCAGTCTCTTCAGTGTGTGGAATAGTCTAAATCTAATCTAACCCTTAGCTTTAGCAACCCCAGGCAGAACATCAGATGCGGCAGGCAACGGACAGAAGCTTCGCGGGCAGCAATACGCACGCACGCTACGCGCGCACGCGCGAGGAAGAGCGCCCTAAACTATCTACTTTAAATAGCTAGCTAAAAAAAAAAAATTTAGGTTTCGGCGGACCCGGTAGACGCGTTTTGGTAGGCAAATTGTTTTCCATAAGTCAATGATCAGCCAGCATCGTAGTTTGTCTGATCATGACTTCTACTGTACATGAGAAGTTACTTCTACTGTTTGTCACTGTAAGAGTTTTTACTGTACATGTAAAGAAATAAGTGTTACTGAGTGTTCCTTTTCGGCTGCTGCGAAAGTCTTATGCGACACCCGTACGCCGTTAGTGGTCGAAAAGGCCAAGACAGCGATGAAGGCTGCTTCGCGCAATCCTCTTCGTTTCAACGCTTCTTGCAGCAACAGCTTTTTTGTCTCGAAGGTTCGCTTTGAATACAATTTGTTTGCGAATATCTCCAGTATCGCCTTCGTAGCTTTGACTGTTCTTGACCAGAGTTTCTAGTTTAGGATTGTTGTTGACTAGAAGCCTTTCATATATTTATAAGATTTTTTGACTACCCGAAAAGGAGATGTCAATCTTGTAACTTGACTTCAGCCTGGTGATGAATGTTGTATCTTCTGAAGAGTCTAGCATTGTGATGTGTATGTTGATGGATAGTTGAAAAATTTTCTTGAAAACAACAGGAAAAACAGCGAACAATACGAAAGTCTCGAAGACAAACGCGGTCTTTCTTGGGTTAAATCCAGATCGATTGGAGAAAGTTTGGAAAATCTTTCCTGTTGCTGTTAGGGTCAAACTATCAGTTAGTGACCACAACTATGCGGGTAAAGATAGCTACTCAGCATCTAAGCTCATAGTGCACCTCGGCAAGGCCTTGGCCCTGAGACTCTCACGACAGAGGAGTGTTGAGTCCCCTCAGCAAAGCTAGATACAGATTTTTCTTTCAAACTCACAAGTCGTCCACTCGACAAACATCACGCGCCTCTAGTACAGAAATCCTCCGACAGAAATCTGCCCAGTGGTGTAGTTTTTCCTTCCAGCTCACCGTTAAATGGTCTCTCCCTCTGACTTTCTCACTTCTCTTCTCTCTACTACAGCGTCACTGTCACGTACCGAAAAAGTTCTTGATCTTGACTAACACGTACTATAAACTAAAAAGCACGTAGCACGCACGCGACATGGCTTCTTGAGTAACACGTAGTTGACTAGGACTAGCACGCACGACGTACCAAACTTAGAAGTTGGATCCTGATCATCAAGGAGGGGGGTGATTGTTATGCATATGCTTAGGGCTTAGGGCCCATTGGAGCTGGTCATTAGAGCTGGTGGCCATTGGATCATGTCATTGGGCCACGCAATAATGGAGTAAAAATCTACAAATAAGTATTCATTCTCACATCATCTAGAGTTGTTCTCATATCTTTGAAACTCCTTAGTAGCATTGAAACTCCTTTAGGTTCGCTTTCCGCTTATTGTCTAGTACCTACAAACATCGCGTCTCCAAATAACTCAAAATTCTACCAATTCTGTCTTCTCAATAAACTCTCTAGATCTTGTTCATCCTTCTTCTCCTGCACAAAATTAGCTCTTTCCTGGGACTTCGTTCCGGAATAACGCACCCTCTTGTAAGTAAGTAGCATCGGTAAAAGACGTGACGGAAACCCTAGTAAGTCTTGTTATGTGTGTGTCCCTGTCGCGGTTCATCTTCAACGTAACCATTTTTTTTTTGCGTTAGGACTATATGCCACCGCCCTTTCAATCAATACTGGGGGCGCATAAGACCGTACATTCGGCCACAAATCTACGAATATCGGAGGAGCCGTACATCTGCAGGTAACCACCAAGGCCACAAACAGAGCATGATCTAGAAACCACCACATTCAAAACATCAGAGATTCCAAAACATGAAACTTTAAGATAATTGAGAGTCCACCATTGGGCCTAGAAACGTAATCAATATGGCGTAGAAGCTGAATGGAAAAGACCACCCTCTGGGCAACGCGTGGTCCAGTACCAGGCTACTAACCGCTCCGCCTCGTGATAGAATCCATCATTTGCACTTGGCGTCGGCCGTCCTTTACCTGTGCCATAATCTGCGCTTTCAAGTCGTTTTTCTTGTCGTATCCCATCAGTCCCGGAGACGGGTCCGCGCCGCCCATAGGACCTGGAAGATTAGCATCCTTTTACTATATCCTTATCGTTTTGCAGTGAAAATTCCTTTTGATTTGCAGAGAATAATTTCACGAATTATGCAGAACGCAAAAATGATCTATAATACCTGCTACACGCGAAGCACGGCCTTGTGAGGAGACGTCGCGCCCTAAACTTCGCATGGGTTCCGAATCACCAGCTTGATTCACGTGTCGAAAAACCTGCATGAAATCAGGCCTTTACAAAATAAACAAAGAGAGCAGCTTACTGCTCGATTGGATTGGATATAGTTCGCCGTCCGGAGGGGGGCACATTAGAATTAGAATGTGGGAGCATAAGACACATACTACAATCAAGTACCAATATCGGGGGTTCTTCCTCGCCGAACGCAGCGAAGGCTAGGAAATGGTGCGTTTTGGACCATCTCGAGTCCACTACTGGGCTCGATAGCTGTACACCAAGTGCTGCTTGCCACACCTCAACTGTCTTGCCCGTCGCACCCAAATTAGAACCAGAAAATTCAAAAAAAAACCCACTTGCATTACAATGCATCTTGCACATCAAATAATCTACACTTTCTTGTATTGTAATGGTAGTGGATGCAACTAGTTACAGATGGCGAAGAGGATATGCTGCACTGCTGAGACAAGACCGCAGCCTCCAACGACACCTTTCTCTTGATTTAGTCACAATTTCAAATGCACCTTTCAAAAGAATCCCCAGTACATCTTCCACAAGAATTGTTGGGGTATGACGATCCTCCTCGTCCTCGCCCACATTATGTCTATTTTATCACTAATAGACATCTAGTATCATCAAGATGCATCTCTGGTGGCCATCTAGTAATACTCAACAATACTTACTTGGTCTTTTTACCTGCATACTAAGCTACAATGCAGATAATCTTTATCTTCTTGGACACCTATTATACTATCGTTTGGGAGGAATCAAGATTAGCATGTAAAAGTAACCGGCTATCTTTCTTAAAGTGCCTCCTAAACCCCTATAGATCCTATGCTATCCTCCTCCATTTTATTTTTCATCTATAGATACTAAATATTTGCTTAATGGAGAAGACAAAGACGCGGCCGCTCTCGCAACCAGAGACGACCACTTTTCCGTCTGGACTAATCGTAGAACGAATCGGAAACCGCGAGTTCACAGTGCCGCTCATCTCCGTATACACCCGCAACACACCACCACTAGATAGCGCGCACAAACCTCAAAAAGGATGATGATGGGGATGATGATGTCAATATCTGATTGCGACTGCTACGTCCTGACAACGGTGCGGCCTTAAAAGTGCTCTACTATGCAAATTTTAAGTGTCTAGAGTTTTGGCAAGGGTGGTCCGACTCCCGTACAGTCGGATCCGCTAAGGCTGTGCATGGGGACCAACAACTAAACTAGCTAACAAAATTATGCAAATTTTACGAATGAGATTGTCTTTCGCGTTGAGAAGATTAGAAGGGTTGTGCTCCACGTCTCCTTGCAAGTGACCATACCTTATGTCATCGTTCTGCCTTGCAAGTAACATTGTCTGACTTCGAAGAGTACTCATTTAATGTCACTCGCGTGTCAGGAGAAACACTGCAATCGAGTTCTTTACTCGTGACGCGTTCAGGTGATACTGTTAACTTGTAAGCAACTCGTATTCTATTCTATTCTGTGCATCCTAAATAGGTTGGCTGCACCTACCGGCAGGATGAATCGATGTGACAAGATCCCACAAAAGAGTAGAACTTGTAAGCCAACGAGGAATGAATTGAAGAAACAATATGAAGTCAGTTGTAGGTCGTCAGGAGAGGTGAAACATAGTCCGTAAGAAGCACCCACTCGTCAGCGTTGGACATTGCACCTCCTCCGAATACGGAACCGGTTTGCATTTCTTCCGACACGAGCTCTAAGTTGTAGAAGAACGTGCTTCCGGTCAACTCGTTTGATTTGTAAATGGACAGCGCTTCCAACGAGCCTTAGGGCAGAAGAATAGGTTGCTTTCTATTTCCCACGTAAGTAGACATAACCTGCTACAGGCTGCACAAACGGAGGTGGATAAATGATTTCACTGTAAGAAGACACCTAGTTCTCACTAGGAAGGCTCTGAGATCCCATGGGATGGCAATCTCCAAGCGCTATGTCTAGCGAAGAGGGAATAAGAACTACATCCGAGGACTTTTCTTCCAGCTATGTTGAAAAACTAAAGCTTAAGCAAGAGTCTCCAAGCTATATTGAAAAGTTGATGCTTAACCAAGAGTCTCTGCACTTGCAGCGTCCTGGGTCGGCTGTCCACCGAATATCGGAGCGGCGCCACCTGGACCCACTGCCTGTCTGACGCACCGCCACGAAGATATATATCCTGCACTGTGAGTAGCGTAAAAAATGTCGCTCTTTGCTTCCCGGCCGAACCTGGAAGGAGAAAATAATGTGTAGATGAAAAGGACGCGAAATGTGGCACATCTTGAAATCTCTAGACCAGTTCGAAACGTTTGGAAGGAGGGACACACAAAACTGCTCTCTCACTCAATCAAGATAAACAACTGCTCTACTAATCTTTGTCGAATTTGTTTCATCATTGCTCAATCTACTCAGATGTAAGAGTAGAAGTTGTTCCCCGGATGTTGATGTAAGAGTAGTATTATTTGCATCTTCTGATATAGCTTGAGCCCTACTACCGGATGCAGGTGACATGACTCCGATCCTGCGTGGGCTGATCTGTGCACAGCGTGGCCTTCGTCACGCGCCAGTCTGGCTCGATGCCTTCGGTGCCTTCCGGTCCCTTCCATTAGAAGAATTCCTCTACTCTCTAAGGTTTTCATCTCCAATCATGAGGTGCAGACTACTCTGAAAGCTTAAGTCTCAGGTTCTTACATCTAAGGTATAAATCTCAGGTTCTTACATCCAAGGTTTAAATCTAATTCCTCATGAGGAGACGATTTTCTAATTTCAGGATATAATAGGAGTGAGTTCGGCTACGAGGAGGTGAGCGTTCACGACTAATGTCGAGGAGACTTGATATGGGGATGACGCTGAACAAAGTATTGATTTCGTGTTCGGAAACCCCACATTTTCCTATTTGTAGTTCAAGTAAATCTACAATAGAACTTCTGTAGATGTTCAAATATTAATAGAACGGCTTAACTGTAGTTCATATCGCGTCTAGCGACACGCCAAACCTTCAATCCGAAGGTGTGTCCCCCAACAACTAGATAAAACCGCTCGTTGTCTAACGGCGAGGCCATAGCCGCCGACGGAAGGAACGGTCGAGCAGAATGCAATATGAGAGATACCCCGTGCTGTTTGGTATTCACGACGCATGCCCAGTTTGTCATAACTGCGTCTCAAATCACCGAACATGATCATCAGCAAGACGAAACCATTTCATAGCGAGCTCTACTAGATTTGCTTCACTACAAACAGCCTACATACACCTTTGAGCACAGATTTTTAACGCTCAAATTTATTCGAGATGATGTAGCAGTAGCAGCTATGGTTCTAACTTTGAGCACGAATTAACGCTCAAATGTATTCTAGATCATGTAGTAGTAAGCGTGGATGCCTATGGTGCCATAAAGCAGTAACTCGGATGGTACATGGTGACCGCGGGTGCAATAGCGACGTTCGGCTCGCGATCTCGAGGAATCTGAAAGACAATAGCAGTGCCATCAGAACTGGCTGTCACCAGGCACCCTGGCACGTCCTCAGTCGTGCCCGCCGCGTCCTCGATATTTAGCATAGGATACTACTAGAATGTAGAATAATGTTGACCCGAAGAAGACCAAGATCGTTATATCTCTTCAAACAAAAAAAAATATATCTTTAGTACAATAGCTTTAGGCCTTAGGGTTTAAGGTAAGATAGAATGTCTCGAGCTCGACCACCTTGCTGTATTTTCATCAAGCTCGACCACTTCGCTGTATTTCGATCTATTCTTAGGCCGCTTAAATATCTTCTTTACACAGGAAACTATGCCTAGTAAATACTAGAAGCAAGAAGAAGACCAATCGTCAAGTTCAAAATGAAAATTGTCATGTATGAATACTAGAAGCGAGAAGACCAATCGACAAAGACCTCCTCATAATTTCCCCCCCGTTCTTCTGGCACCCGCAGCACTATTTCCGTCTGCTGGGTTTGGTATCCAAAAGAGATCGTAGACTAGATCTCGATGGCCATGGCACACACAGTGCAGTTGCTGTCTTGCCAGATCGAAAACTCGGATTTCGAAACTTTGGTCCTTGTTTAGAGAGTGTACATATTGAAAAACCCCTAGCAACCCTACCCTATAGAGAGAGAAATGCCATTCAGGAGTCACTATAGAGAGAGAAATGTCATTCAGGAGTCACTATAGAGAGAGAAATGCTATTCAGGAGTCACTATAGAGAGAGAAATGCCATTCAGGAGTCACTATAGAGAGAGAAATGTCATTCAGGAGTCACTATAGAGAGAGAAGTGTCATTCAGGAATCAACGACAAGACATTAAGAGCAAATGCTCTCCTTGTCAGTCGTACTTAAACAGGCTGTAAATGTGTCTTCAGTTTCAAATTCAAACTCGATTTATCATTATGCCTAGCTTGAGTTCCACTGCTGCAGCCAAGTAGCGCCCACTTGCCGGCGAAAAGGCAAGTCTGTGACAGCCGCGTCCGTCCGATGGTAACTGATACGCGAATTCCCCAGGCAATGGAACTGCTCCCCTTTGCTAGTATATGAAAGTAGTACTCGGAATTGGATATTTATTGTGGAAACTTTTTGCTACTTGCTCTATGAAAGTGAGGCACAGAAGATTAGTCGAAGCTTGTAAGTACTCAATGAAATCGCAAAATAGAAGGAAGCGCATCATGCTACTGGGTTTCTATGCAATAAGATTCCATGGAATATGGGAACATATCTCGTGATAACGAGTTTCCAGTTTCTGAGTACCCAGGATCGCAAGGTATAGGGGAACGCGCAGCGAGTATCTATTCTAACGTTTTTTTTAGTAAGTTCGAGTAGATGTAAGTACTGAAATTGAAAAGTGAACAGAAAAGACCACAACAAATTCAAATGATCCAAAAACTACTTTGCCTAATTTTTAGTATCACGGATTGTGCGAGCGCAGCTGCAGCTCCTCCGCCACCCTCACCGCCGTCTCCAGCACCCTCCCCAGACATCGCAGTACCTGCACCCGTATTGCTATTAACCGCCGCCGCACTGCTAGGAGCTCGAAGACTCTTCAAAGCGGCATCTAGAAAGACACTCTGGGGAATCTCCTGTATTAGAGCTATCGCGGTCGCATCTTCCTCTTTGAGAGTCATATCCTTGGCGGCTCCTTCTCCAAGCAGAAAAAGAAGATCAAGATCCAAGGATGATTCTGTTAAGGAAATGCTTCAGCGGCAGCCGCAACTGTATGAGCTCCGCAGACACCAGTAGGCAGGCGTCTTTTCTTCTCCTCAAATCCTGCAATTCGTAGTACACCATCGGCATGGCATAGAGACACGAAAAACATTACTCATCTAAGCTTATAAGAACTAAGTGCTCAAGAAGAACAAGCTAGGCATCTTGACACTAGGAGCAGTAGTGCAGAAGTGGTGGTGGTCGATCGATTGATATACTTAACTTATTTGTCAGCTTCCAAATCTGTTTTCTGTCGGATAGACATTCTAATATTAAGCTCTACAGTCTAGTAGTCCTTCGAGTATGAGTAATGACTTTGCTTTTCATACGTCGCGAGGTCGTCACACACGTGCGCTCGGTCCTTGGTATGTTGGTACTCGTGCAGCTGCAGCCAAACGCCCTGCAGCTAACATGAAGTTGTCAGTTATGTCTCAGTTTTCTAGGTGTCATAGGACGCGCGGAAATATCATTGATGCCCCACTAGAACTAGACAAACCGACATAAACTGTTCTACTTCGACTACAAAAATCGAAAAAAATATTCCCTCAATCAAAGGCAAAAAAACACCCATCAATCAAAGGAGACATCTTACCTGGACCTACCAACTGTCACAAAGGATGCTCTCAGATGTAGTTGCCGACAAAAAGTAGTAGTAGTAGTAGTTAGGCCATTCATGGAGAACCGTCCGATAAATGTCTTGGGGGGAGTAGGGGAAGCATGGCGTGTTGTTTTCGAAAGGATAAAAATATTCTTATAAAAATATATATGGCGACAGCATACGATTACTTTTGCAGATGGTTACAAAGTGGCTTTTGAAAAAAGACATTAGCTATCTTCTGTAGCTAGTTGAGGTAGTTAAAATAGTTAGCAAGAGATGCCGCAGGGGAGAAGGCTGCAGTGCTGCTGGAGCACATGGAGGGCGAATCGATCAGGGGCTTCGCAAGTGGTAGGAGTGGGTCCGAGGTTGCGACGGACTGGAGGGCGCTTCTCAGTGGAGCGCAATGCCGGGAATTCCGAGAGTAGCCTACCACTAGGCCTCCCGTTGAGGTCGTCTCATTGTTTCCCCTTGGACCCCCTCCAGACCCCCCCCACCCGAAAAGTAATCATCTGCAAAGGATGCTTCCGATTACTTCTGAAAGTAATCGATAGCCTCGGGCTGGCTCAGATTGGCTTTGCATCCGGTTACATTTGAAAGTAATCGACATGACATTCCAAAGATCGGCACAAAATGAAACCCGAAAGAGAAGAAAGCGGCGAAGACGCGGAAGAGCCGAACGGGAGGGAAATGTAGGCGAGTCCACAAGTGAGTAAAGCGCTAGCGTCCACCTTCTACTAAGTCTCGGCCTCAAGGGGTCTTGGACCTCTTCCGAAGCCCCTGATCCGTTCGTCCTGCTCTTCGTCCAGCAGCTTTGCAGCAATCTCCCCTGCGGCATTAGCCTATCTTAATCTTAACTATCTAGTTAAACTAAATTAAATAGTGAATGAAATTTTTTTAAAGTCGTTCTGTAACTGGATGCAAAAGTAATCGTATGCCAGCGCCATAATATAGTTGCCAACAATATAAAGTCAAGTTTGTTCCACAGTCTACAAAAATGACACAAAGTGAAGTCTGTTCCATAGTCTTGGCGGTGTTGAAAGATTCGCTGTGTCTAGCAGTTCCTGATACACGCCTGCAGTCGCACCGTGATAATTCTCTGATCCGGGATTCGTGTTGAGGGCCCATGGAAGATCTACACCGGACGCAAACAGCTGGTCAGCGCGCAAGTAAGCCCAAGCTACTCGCTTTATGTCACACGTTAGAACCCAGATGTAAGAGTAGTTCAGTGTCACAGTCGAGGCGAACGCGAAGAGTGAGGTTAAGGGGAAGAATATACTTGAGGTTCAGGCGTAGATCCAACTCGTCTACTGTCTTGTGTTGAAGATTGTCTAAACCTTTTTAAGAGAAAATCACTCCAACAACATAACCGTGCCGCCTCCTTCGTCGTCGTCGCAGACCACAAGTTTGGGTCTTTCGATGGTGCTCGTAGAGCCTTCTCGAGCACTTCAATCAGGAAAAGGACGTTCGGATTCATCAAGTAGTCGGCTGGACAGTTGAAGACAAAATCTGCTGTTAGATAGTAAGCATAATGTAGACCTTAGAATATTAAGAATTTTAGTGCTATGGATGCTGCACAATGAGCCGCGGAAGTGTTCTTGGAACAATCATCCTACTGCATGCCAAACGACCACACTTAGCCATCGGCGGGATGATACATTTCCTGCGGTCGTGGAACTACGTTCAGACATTATTGTCTCGTGTTGGTTCTGAAGTTGCCTTGTCAGCATGATTACCAGGTTCCTGCTTGTTTTTACAACCACCAGGACATTATTCTAATCTTGCCTTGTTTTTACAGCCAAAAGGTTCCTTCTTAGTAACGAGCATGCCGAAACAGAATCCCAGGACTCAGTCTAATGGCTTTTCCCTAAATAGTGTCTTCTTGAAGAAGGTGGCTTTCTCTATCAGAAGCTCCTTCTAGGCTATATCTGAGCAAACTAGCTAGAAGTCTAAAAACTGAAATAAGCAAGGAACTGATCAGAATAACCGAAATACCGACGAGGAGGAAGAGTAGCCTTGGCGCTATAAGCTAGTGCCTCCCTTATTTCAGTCAGTAACTCGGTTATTTTGAGTTTTCGAATACTCTAGACTTCTGGCCTTAACATAGAGCGTTTGTTATTGAAGTTCTGGCTTGATTTTTGCCTCGTTTGAATGCCAGGGCAATCGATGGAGTCAAACGGCCGCACAAAAGAGACCTCCTTCTGCTGTCCCACCGACAGAGCGTCGTCCTCCACCCCGGGACTGTCCGCAGAAGTTAGAAGTGGCGCTAGAAGATCATGATTCCGAAGCCTCCGAACAAATTACAAACATCTTCTGGAAACGCTGCTGTTGTGAAGCGACTAGTACAGCTACTAGTCTCAGATTCAGATTCAGATAGGCTCCTGCCTCAGCCCTGCGCATTGAGCACCGGATCGACAGAAATTAAATTTGAGTTCCTTTACGAGAAAACCACACGTAAGTCATACCTTTGGTGGTAGGAACAGTCCCTCCGGATTGTCACCAGCATTCACGAGCAAGTTCGATTTGCCGCCTTTGTTCGCCATGTAGGTAAAAACGCCGTCATGCATTGAAGGTGTCCCGCCCGCTCCTCCTCCAATGGACATGAAGGAAGAGAAGATGCTGATATTTTTACATCAATAGACCTGAAGCAAGGGCAAATGCTGATAGTACTAAGTACTTGGCTTAACATTTTTCATTCATGTGCCCCATTCAGGCGACCTGTGAGCCTATGGGGTTTATCTTGACGAGGCAAAAACATATTCCTGATCCAAAACGCAATCTTTTTGCTAGCCCGGAATTACCATCGGAACCATAGAACCAATCTAACTACTATCGGAAACGTAGAATCAATCGTATTTACTTGGATGCTCATGATGCCACCTTCTTGGTCCCTCATTTTGTTATTGCTCAGAGTAGTATACTATTAGCGATGAACAACTAGAAATATTAAGAGAATCACCGCAGACACAGCTACTACTACCATTTTTTTCCAGATGAACAACTAGAAAGTAAATACTATTGTATGTATTTTTCCTCGCTACTAGTAGTAGTATTACACATTAGCTGAAGCGATCAAATTTGTGTCCGAAGATGTGACATCCATAACGGGTGGCGTAGGAGCTTTTCTAAGCCACTGTCCCCGACTCGCTAAATCTACCACGTGAACCCGCATGAACGGCCGTGTGGATACTTTTTTAGATGTGGGTAGACGTAATGGAGGCTTTATCAGAATCTCGCACATAGGCATCTATGAATAGGACTCCAAATAATACGAATAGCTACATTGGACTAAACCCCGAAAATTTGTCGCGCTTGGTTCTCGTTGTAACATGCAGAAAGTTAGGTTAGCCTCGGAATCCTGCACATCAAAGCCCCCCGGCACCTGGCTTGTTATCTGTAATTACTTATACTTAGACATACTTCCTTGGGAATAGAATGCGCAAAACGAAGTAAGAAGATGCTGCAAGAAAAGTAATAGAGGTATCAAACCTCTAGGTCCAGCTCTGGGACACATCTTCTCAGCTAAAATGTTCACAATCAAGTAAAGTGTTCCGCACTCCAGTCATACAATACAATACAATTAATCTCGCTTTTTTTTTTGTAGTGCCGTGCTTATCCGAAAGGGAAGAGCTTGCATGTTTATCCGCGAAGCTGCCGGGCTCGCACAAAGTTCAGTGCAGACTTCTTCTGGGATAAAAAATTCGTACTCCAAACTGTGGACTTAACTTTGGCTTCTAACGCTGGTTTGGTATCCTGCACCCCGTCTACTCGATGTAATCGTAACTTCAACATTCGTTGTCGCAAGTGATTCCGTACAACGTCGCTACTTTAGAGAGCGTCTCGTGGTAAGAAAGCTCATAAGCTAGTAAAAAAACATTGGAGCAGATCCCTCGTTAGGGTCGCTTAGGGCTTGGGCTTACCGTTGAAAAATGTTGCAGCAAGGGAGGCGCCTGTCCTACTTCTAGTCCTAGCACGAAGGGGATGGGTATGCATCGTATTTCTACCAAAGTGTCGACATCTCTTGAGATCGATTCCTCGTCTCAGTGCAAGAACGAGCGTGAAGGTACTACATCTTCGGGACCTACTACACTTTATACAAGTTGTGCACCGTGAGACCTACAATTGATTTTTTTGCTCCCAAAATTGATTTGAGAAAGAAAGTCAAACGAAAACTAACCAGCCCATGTTCACCTCTCATCTTCATGGTGTTGAATTAGAATTTATAGTACACGACGATTATCTTCGTGATAATGAATTTATAGTACACAATCGTCATGGATGATGTTCGCTCCATGTTATAGTGTTAGCTTATAGCTACCGAGGAAGGAGCCTTGTCATGTCACGGGTATTCTCTGTGCCCGTCCTATCTACGGGTATTCTCTGATCATTATGAAATCCATGTTCATAAGGCTGAGAGCTTTGCGATTTGGTGAAGAGCATTTTTTTCCACGTGAGATGCGGATCCCAATAGTGAAGCCGAAGTCGCGTCAGGTGGCCCAACTCCGCGTTTTCCCTATGCTTCATCTGCTCTAGCCCAGTCGGATCCGAGTCGATCTGCGGTACTTTGAGCTCACTTCGATGCCCAAAGATTAGAAGATGAAGATGCGCCGTGTGCGAATATAATATAATTGAATAAGTAGGTAGACGTTAGACAAAAAAAGAACTTTAATATTATTTCTCGAGAATTATAACATGTGACTAATAAATAATGATCTGTAAGTACCTAGATGAACAACTCAAAGTAATTCGCTCCTTTGTACTAAAGTAAGAGACTGAAATTGGACAGTGCATGTGGCAATAATCAAAAGAGTCGCAAGTCCTCGATATTTTATTTATGACAGTATTTTAGTACCACAACGAACAGAGGGATAGAGAGAAGCAAAGATAAAGGGAAACAAAGACAGAGAGCAGAAGATTATGACGGATCTGCATTTAGAACTACTCCCCACTACTCATAATGAGCCTGATATTTGAGCTTGAAGTGTAAGAGGACGAGGTGGATTATGATGATGTTAGTCGGTTCGGAATTGTCCTACGACTTCCCATGAGGTGGATTTTAACGATGATGTGAGTACGACGTAATCAAACGTGTGGTCATATAGCGATAATATGAGTACGACGTAATCAAACGTGTGGTCATATAGCGATAATGTGAGTACGACGTAATCAAACGTGTGGTCATATAGCGATAATATGAGTACGACGTAATCAAACGTGTGGTCATATAGCGATAATATGAGTACGACGTAATCAAACGTGTGGTCATATGGCGATAATATGAGTACGACGTAATCAAACGTGTGGTCATATAGCGATAATATGAGTACGACGTAATCAAACGCGTGGTCATAAGAATGTCGCTCTCCAAGAACGATTCGGCGCAGCATTCTCCAGTGGAGGCTTGCCTGCCATTCCTGTAATGCGGTCGCTTACAGGTTCCGTTCCTGCATTCGCCATTGCCATTTGCTGTCCTTGAAATTGCTGTCCTCCCTGAAATTGCTGTCCTCCTTGAAATTGCTGTCCTCCTTGAAATTGCTGTCCTCCTTGAAATTGCTGCTGTTGTTGCATCTGCATCTGTTGTTGCATCTGCATTTGCTGTTGTTGCATGTCGCCGGCAATCGGGAGTGCATTGTTTTGTGCAAGAAAGCCCGCTTGCTGTGCACCAAAAGCGTTGCTAGGTGAACCGAGATTCGGATTGTAGGTCATCGGTTGTGCCGCATTCGGACCACCCATTGGAATCGTGGGTCCTGCATATTGTAGGTCGCTCACCGACGGTGGGTTAGCACCGCCATCTGTCGGAAACGCAGAAAACTGAAGCCCCGTCTGTCCACCAGGAGGCATCATCGGTTGTTGTGCGACACCTGATGGCTGTGCTGCCCCACCTTGCTGCGCGCCATTATTAGGTTGTTGAGGCTGTGCTCCGAAGGCAGCGGCCGGTGGGCCAGTCGATGCGGCGCCACTAGCGAAGGGGTCCGCACCACCAGGCCCGAAAAAATCCGGTACGTCGTCTGCCATGTTCTTGCTAGGAGTCCCTGTTATCTCACAGGAACGAGCAATGAGACTCCATGATTCTGCTGCTAACTATCGAAATTTACTTATAAGTGTTAATTATAAGTAACTAGAAATAGAAGAATTCGATCCTGTGATTTCTCCCTAAAAATCGGAATAAAAATCGGAAGATATCAGGAACTATAAGGAACTATAACTCCAGTGACAAACGCCAGAAATCGTGACGATATGTCTAGTGAAGAGGATGATGCTGATACGGATACGGGAAATGAAGAAGTAGAGGAAGAACATCCAGAGTTATGATGTACTGGTTCTCAATCTCATCTAACTCTAAGATGTAGTACTCACCTGGTCCTCTCATCTAAGACCCTTGTTCTCCTCTAAGACCACTACTTCTTCCCAACTATAAGGAACTATAACTCCAGTGACGAACGCCAGAAATCGTGATGATACCTTCATAGAGTTCAAGTGCATTAGTCCTTGTTGTAATCGCGTCTCTTATAATCAGCAAAATTTAAATTTTCCCGGCCAATTAATCGCTCTTTTCCGCTCGTAAATCGCGTCACTCACATCTCTCGCACGACCAGAGGCAATACTCTCTGAGGAGTTCTTGATAGACAAGAAGAAGAATTTTAACCGAAGGTAAAGCGCAAATGCCTAGTGTCTTGTCTCGGTATATCTTACCGATTTCGCGACCCCTGACATCTGAAATCTGATCATTTTACGATATCAGTGGTCTCATTCTCTCCGCTTTCACTCATTGTCCTTTCTATATGTTTTTGACACAAGGCCGATACAGCTGCTGATAAAATCATAAAGACCGATCTTCTTTAGACCGAGCTTTCATCGTTCGGACTCTACGACTGCGTTTTCTTAATACTTACACATCCTATAGTACATCCCGTTAACAGTCGTTGACGTGCGCATGATGCTCTCTTGATCCGTTGGATTCAACTGCAGCTCAGGAATTTTCTATACCCGTGGTCAACATCACGAAGAAATCGAGCTTTAGTTATAATTTTAAAGGGGTCCTTGACGAGTGGTGTTGAGTGGTGGTCCAGAATTAGAGCATTCCTATAATGAAGCGCTCTAATGAAGGAGTACTTCCTTAGTTGTCCCTGCTCTAAAACATAAAAGGGCTGCTGCCAAGCGATACTCGAGACAGATTCCAAGTTCAAAGAAGCGCGTGAGGAGTACCTATTGCAGTCTTGCGACCAGATCAGACGCTGCAGGCATCCAGATCCATGAGAGACCCCTAAGTGATCTTCTTGCTCCACCCATGTGATCTTCTTGCTCCACCCATGTGATCTTCTTGCTCCACCCATGTGATCTTCCTGCTCCACCCATGTGATCTTCGTGCTCCACGACCCATGTAATCTTCGTGCCATCTGAACTAAGTCGACCGCAGCGCGAGATGACTCACACAAATTCGCGGCCTCCTTTGTATGCTCTTTTGTATTCTCATCTTCTGAGCGTTCTAGCCGCATCAATTTCAGAAGACACCCTGCGCGAAGTAGTCCGCGATGACTGGAAAACCGCCGTCTAAGTTGCGTCCACTCTTCAGGTACTTGAAGAACTCTTCGTCGTTGGGTTCCGACGTTGACCGCGGTCCGGCAGCTCCGATGCTGCCCACGTTTTGACTGCTAGCTTAGAGATCATGACTGCGGTAGACTTGTAGCTTGGATCGAAATCGATATTCACTTTTTACACGTACATAAGTAAGCAAGTTAGAGATCACTGCAGCTTGGGATAAGATAGGATAAGATAGGATAAGATAGGATAAGATAGGATAAGATAGGATAAGATAGGATAAGATAGGATAAGATAGGATAAGATAGGATAAGATAGGATAAGATAGGATAAGATAGGATAAGATAGGATAAGATAGGGCAGGGTCCCTCCACTCGGATATTCACTTGCGCTTACAGAAGTAGGTACCCCCACCAAGGATTATCCATAACACTTGCGGCATTCGTCTCCAACGCAGTACGCATGGTAACTGTGCATGCAAAAGAAGTTAGAGCTACTGTGGTCACATCCCTGAGAGCATCCACGATGAGATGCTGAGGAGAGTGCGGCATCCCTGTCAGTGTCCTATCTGTATGTTTTTGACACAAGGACGATACTTCTGATTTGAAATTATAAAGCCAGGGATGATGCTGTCCCCCTGCGGTAGTGCTCTAGCCGGCATCCACTTTCTCACAATCAAGTTGTGAGAAAGAGCCAGGGAAGACGCTCCTGCGGAAGTGCTCTAGCCGCGGTTGCTCCTGCGGTAGTACTAGCCTTAAAGAAGTGGACCGAAGGCGGTTCCAGGTTGAGGCCACACTCGTAGCACTTGGCGGCGGCAAAGATCCTAGGCTTCCCCTTGATCGACTCCACTTCCGCCTCCATCTTTGCTATCTCCACGCGATCCTCGGTCGTTTTGCTTTCACTCGGACGCAACTTCTCCAAAGAAAGTATGAACAGAAGGGAAACATCCAGCCCACTACCAGTACGCTAGTCCTGCAATACAATTCTCATCTTGCTTATCTTTTGGCAATACATCGCAACGTCAGGATGATCGTACGGAAAATTACTCCTATCATGTTTCGAATTGCCAAGTACAGTAATTGCAACTCGAATAATTCTTGTCACTTTATTCTGACTTGTCCATACCATTTTTGAGATATCCACGCGCAGCTTTGAGGGGAACCTTGTTCTGCGAAAGACAGCGCAGTCCCGAGAGCGGTGGCAGATCCGTATTTCGTAGTATTTCTGGAATTGCCGTCTCCCTGATGCGCGTGAGGCTATCGTCTAAAGTACTACTTGTGCTCTCTGGTGGAGATGGTCTCTCTTGCGCTAGAATTAGATGAGCTCTAGAATTACTTAGATGCGCTGAGAGCAATTCATTTCTCTTGCCCATTTTTTGAGAATCCACCCAAGAAGGCGTAGGTAGAGAAAAGTGAACGGTGAAGGAACTTTGTTCATCATACTGAATATTAATATTTCTTTAGAAACTCCCTGTATAATCAACAACTAGATGAAGGAGTAGGGGCCGCCGGGTGAATTGCTAATATTTAAGTATAAGCCGTAATAATCGAGAGTTCTCTACTCCTACAGCCGCCTGCGGAAGCGATGTGAGTGCTTGGAGCCACAATCGTGGTTCCCGGGATCCGCATCGCCGACACGTCTCCAATAGCCCGTCGACGTCGCCGCGGTCCAAATGATAGGCTATCAGACTCTGGAATTCGCCTAGTCGCTCGTACGCAAACAGAAGGCCACGGGAGAAATCGTACATACCGCACAACAGCGGCACGCGCTCGAGAAAGTTCCGTCGCATGGCATGCTCTTCCAGTAGTTTGAGGACTTCCTTCGCAATTTTCGGGCACTGCTGCTCTTTTCGCCATCGACGCAACAAACACTCTAAAAGCGCTGGCAATAAAACGGCGTCGACCCACTTGTGCGGCAGGAGGTGAACCATTTTGAACGCCGCTTCTTGGAGAAAGGCTTCCCGGACTCTGGACAGCTCCTCTCCCGACTCCGCAGACTCGTCATCCTTAGAGGTTCCGCTAAAAATCCTTTGATTTGAAGACAAGGGACCTTTCCACACTGCGACTGCGTGGACCTTTTTCCTCTTAAAAAAGGCATCTCTTCAGGACAGGATGCTTCTGTATTCAATCGAGGAGGGAGGAAAAAAAGCCTCTTCAGGACAGGATGCTTCTGTATTCAATCGAGGACGAGGATAAGTAAGAGCCTATCGTTACTTCTTGATCAAAATATTTACTGTTGTTACTTACGGGGACATTTAAGGAGCCTTAACATTGACGCAATAGACTCGCATGATCTCGTCTAACTCCTCTTCGCTGAGGCCTTCTCTGCCTGCCTCTCGTGGACTTTTGATCAGGTCTAGGAACAGGCGGTGTACTTCTGCTGGATGCTTTTTCATCAGCGTCGCTCCGTGAGTGAGTAAAATGCCCAATCGGGTTTCGATACCCAACGTCTTCTGCTTCAAAAAACCTAAGGCCTGGTAACCGTCTTCACCGGCTAGCAGCATTCGCACATAGCCGAGCCCGTCTTTCGCCTGATGCGTTTGAGTTGGGTCCTTTGCGAGGATAACGAGTGTGAAGACATCTAAAACTAATTGCTATGTATAATTAGGGAACAACCATTAGTTTTAGTGTTAGTCGCAACAATGAACTTCGAGAAACAAGGAGAATAGTGCAGCGTTTGATGAGCTGAAGTAAGAAAACCAGATCCATGAGTATTGCACCATCAACTACTCGTGTAAAGCCAAGGACCATGATCTTTTCCCTCTCTTCCACGTAGATGAAGAGTTTTCTCTTCTTATCTTTCAGTGAAAAGAACAAGTGCTTCTGTACACGAACTACTTTGCTCTAGAAGAGTTTTACGGCACTTAGGGTCCTTAACAAATAGGAGGTGGATGGAGGTCTAGTACACACTTAGTAGTGGTAGTAGTAGTAGTTGGAGTAGTAGCAGTAGTAGTAGTAGTATTAGTAGTAGTAGTAGTAGTGGTGAACCCATTCGAGGGGTACTGTAGACACTTTTGAATAATCGTTAGTAGTTATACCTTTTTCGCTAGCATAATCGCTTGTGGCATGAATCCTGGCGTCGTTTCCAGCACGTGGAGAGCAGTCTTGTAGTCGTAATGCTCGACAGGTACCTTTGCGAGAAATTCTTCTAGTTCCTCGTAGCTTGACTGGGCTGAGTTTTAGAACTGCTCTGCTCACTCCAATTTAGTACATCGTTTCCGCCCTCATCTGTGGCGTCCCATTTTCTGTTTGAAACACTGAGATAAGCAAGGGAATGACTAGAATAACGCAGAAGATAGAGTACGGAAATGAGAGTAGCCTTTCAAAGCTAGCGCTCCTATTGCAGTCACTACTAACTCTAACTCGCTTACATTTTCAGAGTTTTCGAGTACTTGTTGAAAGCAGGTTGTCACAGATGTTAAACGAAAGGATGGACCACTTTTGAAGAGGGGCCTGCCTTAAGACTTGTCCTCGCCTCGCGCGGCCGCGTTCTTCGTGTAGCATTTAATCAGCAACTCCGTATGTCGCGCCTCCGCAAGTCCAGGGCGTTCGTGAAGCTTCCGCAAAAACTTCGCAATATGCGAAATTTTAGACACCTCCAAATACTTCTCGATTACGTAGCTCGCATCCATTAGAGGAGCTGTATGCAATTTACAATGAATCTCGCAGTGAAAGAAAAGTGCATACTGCCATACTGCATCGCATTATTTCATCCCTGAGACCCATATATCCTTGGACGACCTTTCTTTTTCCCCTTGAACAAGAGGCCACGGCCTTCCAATTTCGCAAACGAAAAAATATATTACTTACTCAACACCATAATTCCAGTGGCAAGTCCGCGTCAATGCTCTTCATATAAACCGCTAAAGCCTGTTCATACATCCTCTTTTCGAACAGGGCGTCACCGTGGAGCCTGTAAATCTCGCACATCGACGCGGGTCCCACTTCTTGTTGCTGAACATCTTTGACAAGAATCTTAGACAAGAGACTTAGGCAATTTTTGCATTCCTCAGATGAACATCTCGACTAATATTTTCTAGTGATTGAACATTCTTGACTTATTCTCTTCTAAATAGTTGAAAAAAGCCAAGGATGCTGGTGCGGGAGACTCCTGCAATGCTATATTATAGCCCTTAAGAATCGCTGCCCAATCGAACATGCGCTTTTTCAGCAGAACATCGATCTGTTCGGTCTTGGGCTTCTCGCGCAGTTGAAACAACTGGTCGGCCCCGTCCAGTACGAACAGACTGTCCTGCATTCCGGGGACGACCCGAAGAGTCTCGGCGCTGGCTGCGAACAGACTCGAATAGGCGATAAAACGCATGTGCGGGTAGGAGAGACAAACGGTCACGCGCGCTCGCGAGGTTGCATCGTATTCCCCTTCTGACGTGACGGTCACGAAAAAGGGACCTCTGCAGAGCATTAGAGCATCCTCATCTTGGGAGCCTATGCATCTTCCCGGAGGGCATTCTTCCACCTTGGCTCCCCATCAATTTTCAAGTAAGTACAGAAAAAGAAGAAGAACGACCTACTTAAGGTGTATCACCATGGTGTTGTTCATCAGGACGACATGCTCCAGATCTAGGTGTAGCCTTAAGAGCAGCAGATGCTTGCGGCCGTCAAGCGGTATGGCTGAGAGGTTGCCCTCGTCCGCATCGTAGGAAAAGACTCCATCTTTGCGAGCAACCAGGAGACACTGCATGGAACGGAAGACGGCTGAACATTAGAGCTCAAAATAATTCACTCCTGCCCTATTATCTTTCTTCCGAATCAGAAGAAGGAAGCAGAAGACCGCTATGGATGTTGCGTGCTGTTGTCCCTGTTGCCATCGTTCATGATGACCGTAGAGACGTGGACTGACAGTTGTATTTCTATGATCTACCCTATCTCGTCTCTTCCGAATCAGAAGAAGGAAGCAGAAGACCCTACTTGGAAATGAATTGTATCGAGCCTTAAGAACAATGCGGATCGGCGCCGCCCGCTCGGTCCTCATTGAGTAAACGAACTCCGTGGTCCGGATCTAATCGTCCGCTCGCAAGGCCTCCAAGGCTGTAGGAATACACTGCGGATGGAGTCGTGACGAATAGTACCACGCGTATGTGCTTGTCGTTGTTGTTTGCGCCCCGAACTTGATCCAGAAAGTGACATCCCGTGACAACTTGCGACTCGAAAGTGGTACTACTGTTGTTGTGTGCGGGTTGTATGTGGTTGTCGGGTGCGCCGGGAAAACTGCTGACGCTGACGTAGCGCACGGCAGGGGACTTTTCTAACGGCCGATACACCAGCTGCAGTTGACCTCGATCACTGCCGATGACCACGCAGTGGTCGCCCAGACATTCGCAAGACGTAACCCGACACGCTTTGCGATCGAATACAGGAATGCTGACACCAACTGGGGTCACCTTCCGCTGTGCGCCCTCGACTCGGAAAAACCGAAGTCGCTCACCTGAGTTGTTTGAAGAAGGTAACAAACGCAAGACGAGAACAGTACTACTCCCACCTTGTCCTGGTGGAGCTCACAAAAATATTCAAATCAAATCAGCACTGTAAGCTAGATAGCTAGAAGAAGTATGTAACTAACATAGCTAGAAGACCTCCATTTCCGTGTACAAGTGCGAGGAAAACGTCGGGTCGACACTCGTGAAGACGCAGTATTGACTCGTCCTGTGCGAGGCCAGCAGTGCGGTGAGAGACGGTTGTGTTAGAGCTATCGCGTTCGCATCTTACCTGAGAGTCATATCCTTGGAAGCTTCTTCTCCAAAAGGAGAACCAAGGATGATGATGTTAAGGACATGCTCCAGCGACCGCCGTAATCGTGGTGCGCTTGAAATCTCTTTCCACGACCAAAAGTTCCTTCCCTCGCGTCCCCAGCAGCAAGTAATTCGTGCTTCCCGCAATGGCTTCGATTAGACCTTTCGGGAGTCTCGTGTTTCGAGAAGCATCTGGAGATTTCAATTTGTATTGAATACTATTCATTGTCTGGACCGATCTCCACATATGCTTCTCAAAATGGGACATGTCCCGAAGCCTTAATTCGATCTCGGATAAAAGGGAGGTGGAAGAGCTGCGGCTTCCGTCGTTTACGTTTAGGGCACTGCGACGGGCCGACGAGGACGACGGAAACCACCCACTCGCTTGGGTACGATCGAAGAAATTCAATTTTCGCAACTTCTGCATTTTTTTTGTCTCAGATCAATGGAACCAAATCAAGGAAACCAGCAGGAAATAATGAGAATAAACCTGCTAAAAGAATTAAACCTGTTAGCAAAAGATCTAGTTGTACCAGCAGTTTTTAAGTATATTAACAGTGGTGGAAGCTGCTACTAGCCACAACAGCATCAAGAAAAGCAACCATAATTAAGCGTCGAAGAAAAGCTTCGAGTATCTGGTCTGCGGGTCGCCACTTATCATAACTTCGAGAAAATAAAATACCATTGAGAAGCAGGAATCAACACAACTATGATAGTAACAATTTCAAAACATCAAGTAGGAGGATTTACAAGTCGTGACCCAAGTAGAACGACTAATATTACACAAGTCCAAATTATTACCACAGATTTGATGAAAGAGAAATCTCGTAACAAGTCGTTCGCCCTGACAGAAAGACAATTGGACAGACCGCGAAGGCGCAGATACAAGTTGATGTGACGGCTTGTCCGCTTATTCTCGTCAATATCGATTTTGTCATATTGTTTTGTTATATTTGATATACCGACAGCGCCGCGTATGATACTTCTGATACAGACTCACGTCGCATTAAAATTGCATTCTAATTCAATATGATACAGACTCACTTCGCATTATTCGTCAAGGTCAGCGACAATTTCAGTTTTTCGCAGAATGACGGCACTCTAGCCTCTGGATCCACTTGATAGTTCAGGCGAGATTTTGTTTTTATCTTGTACTTGTTTTCGTTCAATAATATATTTATCACTACTTTTTTCATCATTTGAGGTCATTATTATTATTACGCCCGAGCGCGACCCTATCGACGCACGCCTTTCACGCTCGCGGCGCAACCACTTGTCACTAGGGACGTCGATGACCACATCCTGGTCCGGAAGTCATCTGATCAATGAGAGGACCACATAGCACGAACAACTTGAGCTTACAGTCCCAGGATTCGCTGTTCGTATTTCTTTTACAAAACAAAGCATGAAGTCGGACCAATTTCGTGTCACTATTCGAGTCTACTCATAACTCGCTAACGAGGTACTGAGGCTAGACGAGATGTGCTGCCCTTGATCGAGCATTATACTCCCGCTACGAAGGAAAATGCCTCCACGCCCGGCATGCTAGGGGCCAAAATGTGAAGAAAGCCGAGGCTTTTTTTGCCGTTGGCGCTAGAGCCGTCGCCCGCCGCTCAACAAGGGAGGGAGGGGCCTCGACTATTGGCGCGCTAGGGGTAAAGGTCGTGCAGGCTTTTGCGTCAAAGGCTTGCGGACGCCCGCGGCCGCCACGGCGGGGGGGACAGCTGAGGGCCCAGCCTCGGGGAGAAGAGGACGAACGGGAACACGACCAGGCGATGAGCGTAGGAGGGGCGCAAGAGCCTGCGCCAAGCGAACCGGCTGCCAGGCGGTGAGCATAAGGCCCAAAGCGGGGCCCCAGTTTGCGGGCTTCTGGACCTTTGCTCCAAATGCGGCCTCTTTGCTAATCTTCTCCGAAGTCTGCCGCACAACGTGCAAAGGGGGCAGCATTCTTCGGGGCGGAAGCCGGACCCCAAGATGCCAGGCCGCTAGCTGTCGACGTGCCGCGACAGGGATCCCACAGCCACCGTGACGCAGCAAGGCCGCAACCAGGCGGAGAGGTCTAGTGGGGTTTCGGCGTCGTTTGGGGAACTACTGGAGAGCGGCCCCAACGAGTTCCCCCGCGTCGCGCACTGGCGGGGCGGGGCAGGGGTCACGGCACCCTCTATAGCGACCCACAGGAACATAAGTCTGCCTCTTTGGCTCACGGGTAGCGAAAGGCCGCACGGTATGGCGAAAAAAGTGGACTCTTGGGCACTCCGTGGGAAGAGCTCCAAGAAGATCCAGGGCTTTTTGGCCGTAGCAGCGCTGCCGCAACCAGCGTGAAGGGAGAAAGCGGCGACCGGCTGGCAGGCTTGGAGCATCCAGCCCGAGGCCGGGCCAATGTGTACGGGCTCGGGGCCCTTTGCCCTATAGCCGGCCCCCTTCCCAGTTTTCTTCGGGTTTTGGCTATAAACTCGCCAGCAGTCGGCGTTTTTAAAATTTTCTCTTAGGGAAGGACGGAGGAGCCCGGCAGCGCCGGCCCGCCATTATCGACCCCGCGAGGACCGGCCGGCAGGCTTGGAGCAGCAGGCCGCAAGCCGGGCCCATGTGTGCGGGGCCGTGGTCCTTTGCTCCAAAGCTGGCCCCTTTCCGGTTTGCTAGGCGCAAACCCGCCAGGGCGAAGCCGCCACTCTTTTGGGGAAAAGCCCGACGACGGCGGCCCGCGAATTATTTACTTCCCGCGGACCGGTTGGCAAGCCTGCGGAGCCCGGGCTCGTGGTCCTCTGCTTCGAAGCCGGTCCCCCCGGTTTTCTAGGAGTCTATAAGGCAGAATCGTTTTAGGGCAGAAGCCAGGCGACGGGGGACGCACGGCGGACCGGCTTGGAGCACCCGGCCCGAAGACGAGGCCGCGGACTGTTGGGGGGGCCGCGTGGGGCTCCCAGTATGCCGCCGTCGCCCCAAATTTTCGGGAGTGGTAGGCCGGTTGGGCCGCGGCGGGGGTGGGGTTGGGGGCCTTTGTTTTGTGAACAAGAGCCCAAGCGCGGCTTCTTGCCCTGCCGCCCCTGCAAAGGCATTTGGGAAAAAAGAGCGGACCCCACCAGAGGCCAACTAGGTTACCAGGCGGAGAGCATCTGGCCCGCAACCGGGACCACGGAATCCAATGGGCCTCCTGGGGGGGCTCCGTTTGTTCCCCTCTCACCTTTGCAGGGATCGAAGCGCCGGAAGCCCTGGGAGTTTTGGTCGATAGGACAAGCCCCCCTTCCCCGTAGGTCCAGGGCAGAGGCGATAGTGCTGCCGCGTCTCAGGGGCCTCCTGTGGGGTCCTCCCTGGTCTCCCTAAAAAGGTAGCTGGGGGGCCGGTGGCGGCATGAAAGCAATAGGAGATCCCACGGGAGCCCTATGAGATACCGCGGCCCCTTTCGCAGGGGCGGAAGGGTCGGGAATCTTGCGGGTGTTGAACAGAGCTCCCGTAGGTTTTCCCGCCGGGCAGCAAGGACGCGGCGGCCACTATTAGCAAAGCGCAAGCTTTTCCCCGCCCGGCGCTTAAGAATCTAGCCCCGCGCAAGGCTTCGGCGGCGACCTCTTGCGAGCCAGCCTGCCGGAGGCTTTCCGAGGCGGCTCCAAAGGGCTCTGCCCGAGCCTACCAGGCGGCGCCGCGAGGGCTTTCCGAGAAGCTTGGAGAAGGCTCCCCGGTGAGCCTCGAACGGACTGCCGCAAAGGCCTCGGGGCAGCTGCTTCAGGAAGGTCCCGCGGGAGCTCGGTTCCGAAGGCTTCACAAAACCGCCCGCCAAGCTCTCCGAGGGCCTCAGTTTTAAAGACAAGAAAGGCCGTAGATATTTTGTTCATTAACTAACAGAAATTAATTAGAATTAGTTCAAATTAGTTCGAATTAGTTCAAATTAGTCAAGCTCAGTTTTAGAATTAGTTGAAATTAGTTAAAATTATTCAAGCGCGATTTTCGAATTAGCTGAAATTAGTTAACATTTTTCATGAATAGCTCAGAACTTTCTGAAATTAATCAAAAGATTTCTAGTTTTTTTTGGATTATGTCAATCATTTTGAAATATTAGCTAACAGAAAATCGCCAAAATTAATAGAATGATCTTACAGAAGCGTCCAACAGATCCCAAAAATGCGCACAATTTTTACTCGTAGGCTTGCAACAGATGCAAGAACTCAGCGAATTTCTGCAACAACAGATAAACGAAACCGAAAGAATTCCAGGAATTTGACGAATCAAGAAGGTAACAACATCAAGAACACAGACTCACTAGCTTTAGTGCGTTGCTGGAGGCGCACCCCTCCGTCAATTTCCGAAGTGATTCAATCCATTACCGATCAGCAGAAAGCTCAAAAATAACAGAAAGGCGAGCCCGGTTCTTCTCCTTTTCATCTCTCGCCATCGCTCTTTTTTTTCTTCACGCAAAATTTTTTGGCGTTCCTTCTCACCCGTTTGCTGATGTCTTTACTCTTCAACCGATTCTCACACTCTATTTTTTTGACTTTTCTAAGGTTCTCCAGCTCCTCTACTTTTTCGCCTCATCTCTTCTCTTGCCTGTGAAATGAACCGAGCAGGAGACCGAGACTATAGCCCTTGCTTCGCGCGTGTATCGCCCGCTGCTTAGCTCATCTTGCCTCCACGAAAACAAGCGATCACATGAATCGCACAAAGGAACACCCAGCAGCTTTTGAGCCGCCTCTCTTCGCGCTATCCCCGTTGCTCGGGTGCTCGCGCTTACCGACTCCACATAGTTCTCGCTTCCATACCACTGAATTTACCGGAAACAGATGAAAGATCTTAGCAAGAGGAGTTGGAGCGCTACGCACTGTATCTAGCCTTCGTATACCGTGGCGCGCGACCTCTATCAATCAACCTTTTCTGTCTCTGTGATTTGTGGAATGAAAGTAAGAAATATTGCCAGTCTGGTAACTGCCTGCGACTCCCCTTTGGCTTCTTGAAGTGTGCCCACCCCTCTGCACAGAAGCCTGGTTTCCCTTCTTGTTTCCTCATCGACGGTCGACGACCTCTCGCCTTCTCCGAGCGTTTATTAGACCTTCCGGGAATTCATCTAGGGGACCATCTTGGGCCTCTGTTTCCCTTAGAGAGTGCCACAGGATGCTTCTGAAGATGTATTTCCGAAAGTCATAAGTTTAGTCGCTTTCGTAACCGTCTTCCAGGTCTGTTGTGAGACGCCCCAGGAGCGGCGCGAAATACACAACGGCGCGGTTGAAATTCTGCAAAACTTCGTGGCTCTTTGTGTTGAAACCCGTTTCACACAATTGAGCCCCTTCATCCTCCTTCGGCTTCGACAAGGCTGCTCGCTCTGGATTGAAGGCTGCCTGTTGCATTTGTTGCACTTCCTGGTCGAGCGCTTGTGCTTGCTTCTCGATAGTTGTGATGCGCTCCGACTTCACGAAGCTCGCGAAGCAAAACGCGACTATGAGCCTTCGTATCGGTATCCACTTCAAGTGGTCCTGCAGTACCTCCCAGGTTCCAAAGAAGTTCCCCAAAATTAGAGGCAATACTATTCCATCTCGCTCTCCCCATCTTGAACCCTTTGCTTCACTTTGTATTTCACTAGAAAACAAGAAGAAAGGAGATCAAGATGCGGGGAAAGATGGAAAAAGTCAGACCATAACAAAAGCGTCTCCAGCCAGGCCTGATACGTCTTCCCCGCGCAATAGACGTTTGCCTGCGCCGCCAACACATCTTGGAAAACGTATACGTTGCGGAAAAACGTCGCACACGAGACGAAGCGAAGATACAACAGACCCGCATAATCGAACATCGCCTCGACCTGTAGCCGACCGGGGCGAGGGTCATTCTCGATCAGTGCCCACTCCTCGGGGATAGGATCTGGACGCTTCTCAGCCTCCGCTTGCGCCATTGGCGTGGACATTTTGAGCGATTCTCTCTACAGTCTTGGCCGACAAAGAAAAAGCGCGAACTTAATGATCTACCTAGATCGAGTGGCGGAGTCGCTAGCTTAATTCGTTACGTCTGACGACTTTGATCCCTGCATAATTCCGATATAATTTCGGTAATATTTCAGAAGCGAGCTGTCTGCTTTTATACTTTAGAAAAATTAACTAAAATTAATCAAAATTAATCAAGATTGATGAAAATTAATCAAAAAACCCACCCAATGAAAATTCGCCAAAGTTTACAAAAATAGTTTTTCTTTCGTGTCAATTTTTCTGAAGCTTCGGACTTGTCATTGATTCCTCCGTTATTTGTTTCATGTGAAAATCAATCCATTCTTTGTCTCTCTTCATCCGGTGCAACTTCGTACTACCGATGCAGAAAGGACACGCAATTCATTGGAGGTAGTTCGCCATCGTACTGGATCGCATTGAAACGCATTGAATCGCATAGCCTGAAAGCCAAGGCTCTAAGCTTTTCTGGGTGCCTCTCTTCTGATGGTGAAGGATATCCCTGAGGCCTCACTGCCCAGGAGCGAGTGCAATCTTCTGCAATTTCGAACTTCATCAAATAAGCGGCGTGATTTTTTGAATCTTGTTTCTTCTTTTTTCGGTCTTAAACTTGAAACGTTTTGTGTTCGGTCTTAGATGCAGAATATTTTCGAAGCGTATGCTTAAAAATGTCTTGAACCCCATGAGATGACGACGCTCCCGTAAAAATGTCCCTGCGTGTGATTTCCTGCTCTATTTATGATACTATCAAGTTTGTAAATTCACTAAAATTTGCAAACTCGTCTGAATTGCAGTAATTTCCTACCTATCACGTAGGCGCTCCCACGATTGATTATACGCTTTAAGTTTAACCATTCTGCATTTTCCCTATTTGTATCGCTGGCCACAGCTTCGCTTTTCTAAAAAAATCTGAAGCGTCTCAATAATGCTACTTGTTAGTAAACATTAAGCGACGCAGGAAAATTCTATATGTGATCTACTTGCGCGATCGTGCTGATTTGACTGAGTTAATGCGACAAAGATATAACCAAGCGTCTCATTAGTGATCACTCACTTACAGCATCTGCCTAATCAATGAGTTTAAAAATTTGTTTCGAAATTTATTCGTTAGATTTTCCAGGAAGTTCGTATATATCCCTAGGAGAATGCGCAAGGCCCAAATTTATGCACGAAGGCGGACCCAGGTGTGAGCGATAAAACGCCACACACCCCGCACCCACTCCGATCAAAAGAAATCCCACAGCGCAAATCTTAAGATACTTGAGGACAATGGAAATAAAATTTTTCAAGTCGATTTCCTATCGCTTTGCTTTCTTCGATCATTTATAGCGCTGCTTCTCATAATATTTGTCTGGCGCAGCTACTCACTATTTTTTTTATTATTGGACTTTCGAAATCGATGCAATAAATCAGCAGAGAAGATAAATGATGGAACTCGTTTAAATTATCAACGCGATGGACTACTTCTATCAAATTTTATAAATTTGGGAACGGTCTATCTCTATTTTTTCCATTTTGTTTCAGAAAAGACAAAAGTACTACAATGGAAGAATGAACACGAAGAAACGAGAGTGCTAACTTGTAGTCGAGGTATATCCTTGTGATGACTATCATCGTCGTCAATCATCATCGTCACAAATTAAAGTCCGCCGAGCTTCGCGCGCGCGCGTTCCTGCATGCGATTTTTTTCCTGCATTTTCTTCAGCAAGGCTTGCTGCAACGATGGTTTTTTCTCTTCAGTTGCTGGCTTTTTTCCGCTGGGGTTTTCGTCTACTTCCATCGGGTCATCTTGCGCATCATCCGGAAGGAGCTACTGTTAGACGCAGACTTATCATTTTAGTCGCCTACTTTTTTACTAGGAACAGCACGAGGCAGGTCCAGACCCTTGCTACCAACAGAAAGACGAAGGTGACCAGATGGAGGCTGGTTCTCCCTATAAAATGATAAGAAGCTAAACCCTCCCAAAATACATGCTGAGAAGACACAGACAAATAATATATCAAGCTCCGCCATAATTTTCCGCGTCTGGCTTCTTCTCGCCCTCCATGTTGGCATCTTCTTCCTCCTATCCTTCTTTCTTCTCTTCTGCATTCTCCTTTTGTTCTTTCGTGTTTTCTTCTTTCGTCTCTTTTTTGTCCATATCTTCGGCCTTCTTTTCTTCTTCTTTATTCTCTTCTTCTTTATTCTCTTCTTCCTTCATTTCTTCAGAGTGGACCTTTCGCCTCTTGTTAGAACAAGAAGCAAAAGGCTCGCACGTATTTTTTCCGAACGTGATACTTAATCCTCGCAAGGATGCGGGCATATCTTTAGCATCTTCATGGCCGTGGTCGAAAGATACCTGGAAATGTGAGAAAAGTCCAAATATACAAAATCGGGAACAATCTCAACAAAGCAACGAAGAAAGGGAGTTGAACTTACTATAAAACAAAATAAATAAAAGCTGCAAGCAACCTACGTACTTACTGAGAAGAAAGAAAGTACGAAGCTAATACCTTGACGTTGGTGGCCAACTTCTTGAGCACCCTCAGAGGCCACTGACGCAAATTCACGAGATCCAACTTGTCCGCTATTTGGTCTTGCCATTTAGCCTTGGTCGGGAATCTGCACCCGATGATGGACCCAACTTCAATCTCGCCCCAGTCTTCAATCTGTTAAAGGATCAATTTGGATGGCTCTTCTCACTTCTTACGTTTCAAGGAAGAAGACGCAGCCCAGCGCGGTCGACTGACCTAAGAGAAGCTGAGCGGATTCCATTTCCAACTAATTTGCATTAATTTCAACTAATTTAAACTAATTCCAACTAATTCCAACTAATTCCGACTAATTTGAACTAATTCCAACTATTTTGAACTTATTCCATCTAGATCAACTTAGCGAGGTTTTTAAGTACTTGCGCGTGGTTCTTCTCCGATTTTCGCTTCTTGTTTGGCGTCGCCTTCGCTATGCTGCTTGTGTTCTCCTGATCCGAATCGCTAGAAATATTCACTACATCCGCTTCTTTCGACTTCTTCTTTGCTGCTCCTTTCTTGTTCTTCGCCTTCTCTTCTTTCTCCTTGGCCTTCTCTGCTTTCTCCATTTCCTTCTGTTCTTTTTCCTTGGCCTTCTCTTCTTTCTCCTTTTCTTTCTCAGCTCTCTTCCTAGCCTTCTCAGCAGCTTCCTCCTCCTTCTTTCTCTCAGCTAACTCCGCGTCCCGAGCAGCTTGGAGCGGTTCGTATATATTTTTTGCGGTCTCATAGTCGGCTTTGGCTTGCTCATAATCTGAAGAGAGAGATAATTTTGAAGAGATATTTTCTCATAATCTGACGAAGTCAATTCTAAAATCATAAATAGCTTTATCCTGGAGAACGAACTAGCGCCGAAGCCTAGCACCTACGAAATCCTAAAGTTTCCCACAACATCGAAAAACAAACACGGCACTTAGTACCTCCTTCAACTTTCAAGTGCGACTCGGTTGTTTCTTGCGCTAGTTGCCTTGCCTCTTTCTCCAGGCTCTCTAATCGTTGTTTTTCATCAGCGTAGGAGTCTGCGGCGTCCCTCATTCTGGATTCGTAGTTTTGTTTATTTTGCTGGGTCAGGATCAACATCTGGTGCAACTTGGAACAAATATTAGAGACGCGAGCGATGAAGTAAGACGCCAGTAATTATTACGAGAACCTGCGTCACGATCCCTGAAGTATGGGATAAACTACAACGAAGCAAAATAATACACAACCAGCCATAATCTTCTCGTGACCGTCAGGCAGCGCAAAGTAGTTCGCTGTTTGTTCTTAGTGGAGGACTCTGCGCTTCCTTTTGTCCCGCTCGTTTTTCAATGAACTTCTTATATACTCACACCCATGAAAATAAAAACAAGCGGGAACGAAAGCGCTTCAAGGACCCTTCGCGCCTTAATCAGCAGAAATCTGCTGGATGCCTTTCTGGTAAGCTTCTTGGCACGCCTTCACCTCCTCTGCCTGCTCCGTCTCAAGCTTCTCCAGATATTGCACTTGTTTTGCATGATACTCCTCCGCGACCTCCTGTTCCATCAACTTCTGCAAGACTTAGAATCAAACTTGTCCACACCGAGAAGAATAAATATCAAATAAAAATCTAAAAGGTTAGGGCTTTCAGCATACAGATTCAGCTCGATGTGCTTGATCATTTTTGCATGAAACGCATAATTTCTCAAGTTGTCGGTGGCGTCTTTAACTCCCAAGGTAGCTTCGAACCGTTCACGCGCATCCTCTAATTCTTTCAGCTTCTTCCTCTCTTCGCTTTCTCGACGTTCCTCCTCGTAGCGCTTGTGTTTCGTTAGAGCCGATCTTTCAGATAATAGAGGATTACTATTAGTTAGGAGTTTTAAAGTCAGGGAATACGTCAAGGAGCCTCAATCCTGACCATATACCAACCAAGACGAGAACATCAACGAGCGATAGGATAGGACGTATCAACAACAGATGAAAAGGAAAAACCAAGAGAATAAAGACCAAGAGGGATGTAAGAATAGAAGCGAGACTAATACAAAAAGAGGAGCGGGGAATGAAGGAAAAACCCAAAAATAACAAGTAGCCTGGGAAACGAAATCGACTAGAGTGCAGAGCTTTCAGATAAAGAGCCCTAAAGCTTCCTCCTCCTCCTTTCTTTTCTCCTCCCGCCGCTTCCGCGATTCCACCAGATACTTTAAGAAGCCGCCAAGGGCTCCATTTGTCTTCATCTTGATTTTCTGGATCATGCCCTGACCTAGGTGCATGTGAGTCGCGGCTTCGTCGACGCTAGTGATCTTGTCGGAGTAAAATTGCTCCATCGCCTCAAAGCTCAGGGAAGCGGTTGCCTCATTATGTACGAACATCTTGCGCCAACTCTCTGGGGCTTGGTCGCCAGCGAGAGCGCAGTACATGTCCTTCGCCAGTGCCGTCCCGCTAGCGTTGAAGACTTCAAAACGTTAGAGAATTCACTAGAATACTAAAGACGACGCCAAGCGTGGCGGAGTTATTTCAAAATAATTCAAATTAATGAGAATTAAGCCCAATTAGTTCAAACGGCTGCGAATTCCTTTCCTCTACCTTGAAAGTATAGAAATCAGCCCAAAGAGTGATCGATAAAGATCCCGCCAACAAGAGACCCGGGAAATCGAAGACATCAAGATCAAAATTTTCGAGCATGATAAAGCACGACGACAAACGTCCGCCTATCTATCAGCTTAGTTTTTTGATGAAGAGTTTTGAAACCGCCAGCCATAAACTGAAAGGCGCCGAGCAAAATCGAACATAGCAGCAATCACTGGATCTCCCTTGCCCACTTCCTTCGAGATGGATGAGAGACACACGCCCAGATGCGGGTGTCTTAGTTCCAGAAAATATTCCTTCAATGGAAACGCGATCTCACCTGAAGGTAGGAGGCTCGTTTTAGTATCTCACTCTAGAGCAGGTAAAAGCTAAACGGCTGCGTTATCTACTGGCTTGCACGTCGATGGACGTAAGCCCCAACATTATGGAAAAGAAGAGCCCACTCTAGATCAGCAACGCGAAACACCTCAGAGCCACTAAGCTCCACGAAGGTCCGAACTAAAAAGCAAACGAAGTACCTCTTTTCGATGGAGCTACCATCTCCGCGAAAGTCGATGGTTGCATCATTTCCTGAATGAAGCGCGCGATCACTAACGGACATGGAAGATTATTGTGCTCCTCTTGGAGCATTGAAACCACCTCTTCCTTTTCTTCTGGACTGGACCGCAAGAACCAGCAATAGATTTCTCGCGGTCCAGCCTCGCACGCCAAGGCAAAGCTTCGAAGATTTACCTGCGAGAAGTTTGAAGATGGAAAATTAAAGCAGTAGCGATAGCCACGACGAACGACGAGGGTGAACAGCTGCCAAATAAAGCACACAACGCAACACAAAGAAACGAGGCACACAGGCTCCCACGATAGTCAACGAGTAAGCTCCTAGAAATCCAAAGGAAGTACTGGCAGTTGTTCAGCTTCGTCCCTGATGACCTTCCTCAATTGGTCAGCGCTATCAGGCTCGTCGAAGATACTCGTGCACGAAATCAAATCTGCGTAGAGGCTCTTGATGGCTGTTTTTACCGGCCCCCATTTGACGGCAACAATTGTTTTTTGGTAAAATCCACTAAATTGGAGCTTCTGCACGTCCTTCATGGTCATGACCTGCGAGGGTTTTCGAAATTCATGAAAGTCGACGACGAGAAGGAACAGCGAAGCTTTAACTGTTACGAAAACAGAAACAAAAGATCACAGCACTGAAGTCATCAAGTAAGTACCTGGGTCTTCTTCCTGATGACCTTCAGCCCGCCGGTCATGTCATGCGCAAATTCGTCGACGAACACCCATCGCTTTCGAAGCTGCTTGTAAGCGTTCTCGTCCTTTTTCATCAAGTGGACTATCGCCAATAAGGAACCAGGCGCGCCTTTTCCGTACCAATCCTCACCATCGCCTTCTTTTGCATCCGGGATTATTAGACTCAAGGAATCTATCTGCCATCTTCCTAGTTCTAATCCCCTTTCCGTTTTACACTTAAAAACAGGCTCCAGATGTGCTAAAATATTTTTAAAAAAAATTTCTCAGAATGAATTAGCTTCGCCTTAGCTTCAACTTAAAGCCCAAACCTTCTTCGCCTTCTGCTTCAGTTTTATCTCCCGGGTTATCTTCCTCCTCCGACGCTTGCATCTCGAGGATCTCCTTCATTTCCGCCTCCTTTTCCTTGTGGATGGCAACGAACCGATCCACTATCTTCTCCAAATGTTTCTGGAAGTACCGAGTTACGTCGTTCACTTGCACTTTTCCCGAAACAGCGCAAATTCTTTGAGTTTAGAGGTAGGGCCTTGATGCTCGTTTCTACCGCATGTTATGCGCGTCCTCCCCCTTAGGAGATCCATAACAAGCAGCAACTCAAGCAGTTCCAGCCTCGCCTTAAGAAACTACCCCCTGGGAGAGGCTTTCGAGGTAGACATCTGGGCAGCTGTCGACCAACGTCTCCAGCGTTATAGAAGCTTGGAAAAGTTGGTTGCCAGCTACCTCCTCACCAAAATTACTCAGGAAAATTTCCAACGCATTTAGCTGAAAGAAGATGATAGAAGAAGGATAGAACGAAGCCAGCACGTCTAGAGGTAGATCACCACTGGAGAAAAGAACTGTCTTTCATCAAGAATAAAATTCAAAAAACATTGACGGAAGATGATTGAAAAAAAAAATATGTGAACCCAATGAGATAAGTAGTGCGTCCTCGTCTGCTTCTTCCTCTTGTTCTTCTGAGACAACCAACGAATTCGCACCCTTCACGCTTGAACTGTTAGACTTCGCGCTTTCGTTTTTCTTCAGACCTATAGCAGAAAACGAAGGGGATGCAACTTATGAGAGTTGGACTATTCACGTCAGTAAAAGATAATATGAAAAGTATATGATTCGGATAAATCCCGCGTCTGCGTCCTAAAGAGAAAGATACACAAAGCCAAAGACAAAGTTACCAAGTCCAAGAGTCTCCACATAATTGGAGACCTCTCCAGTTGACGCAGTCATCATGTTTGGCGTGTCGACCTTGATGTCTTCCAGCGCACCCGCTGGAGGCGGCGGCGGCGGTTCCTGCTCGCTATCCATCAAAGCCGCGCGGTTCCCGTCATCGTCGCAGATCAATATTAGAGTGCTCTACATTATAAACCTACACTCTCAACGCCTATAATCACCCCGAACGTCGAGGGATGCACGTCGTGGGCACTTACTAACCTCATCCCTCTCCTACGCTAACACTTTCGCCCATAACATCAACGACCCCGATCCCATTCCTCCGCGAATTGTCGTCATGTTTCTGGAGACTGTGTCGCGAACTTTGGCACCCCGGAACGGGAAGGGGCATTCGGTTTGAAACGCGTACCATTCGTTATGAGGGAATTCGTTGAGGAACCTGAATAAAAAAAAAAAATTTCCCTTCGACGTAGAAGTTGAGAAGAAAGCGAGCGATTGCATAAATTATCCAATATAAATAATTAAACAAAAAACAAAAAATAAGTACTCCGAAGGCACTTCCGCAGGGTCCTTCACCTGGTACTTTCTTGAAAATTCCGCGAACGAGGATCGATCCGGTCCGTGAATCACTGCCTTCCTCGGGAAGAAACTCCATCGCTCAGTTGTGACGCTTTCCTTCGTGTTTCTGCTCGCGCAAATTGATTCAATCGAGGCCAGAAGCGCATCCGTCATCCTCTGGGATCTGAGTCGTAAGATTAGAAGTAGGCTTTTGGCGCTTGCTCACCCCGCTATTTATGCCTCGCTGCTTCCTTTATTAAAAGAGAGGCATAAAAAGCGGTAAGAAAAGCACCTTTACCCCGCCCTTAATAATACTTTCTGCCCTGACGCAAACCACTTTTCTGCTTGTAGTGGCGCTCCTCCTCCACCTCCTCGGAACGTTGCGGCGATTGCTCCAACGCTCGACTGCAGCCCTGGGGTCTTCCCGCGCAACGCTTGCCTCCCTTTCTTCACATCATCAGCCGTCACAATTTTTTAGAAAAGAAAAAGTTCAAAAGTCTTGCTGTACCCAGCGAAAGCTGTTACTTTTTGTTTTTGTTGGAAGGGCTAACTCTCTAGATGTAGAGACTTGCAAGACTCACCACGCACAGCTTT